ATATATATATATATATATATATATATATATATATATATATATATATATATATATATATATATATATATATATATATATATATATATTTTTTTTTTTTTTTAAGCTTCCATTTGTATTTTCATACTGGTACTCCAGGTAGGTAGTGTAACTTTCAACATGATATTGGCTGTGGCTGCTCATCAAAATAATAGGCCAAAATAAATGGGTTTTTATTTTTTTGGACACCTTCCAGCCGGACAAATGCTGGTAGGAAGCACACATAGCCAATGCAGTGCTGCCTGGAATATTCCTATTGGCCACCAGGAGTGAACTTAACTAGTCATTTTTATTTATATAATGGTAATATGTAAGAAACACATTGCATGCAACAATTTGGTATGTGCCATAGTTTATGAAACATTTAAACGTAACCTGTCCTCCCCCCAGCCCACCACAGAAAAAGAAGAGAGCATGAAATCTCATCTGTACATTGTGCTAGCAAATTTATAGATAGTGAGGAAAAAAATGGTTTGACTGCTTACATTGGGTGGCTCCTGGCACCACAAACACTGCAGCGTCCTTGTGGGGTTTATTTAAAGGAACTCTCCAACCCTCTACAGAACTTCAGCTTGCTGAAATATTTTTTTAGGAGTTAACTTGAGGTAAAAGTTAACACTTTTATAAATTATCTGATTGGTAGTGGTCATCATAATTTTTGGACAAAGACTGTCAAGGAAAATATTTGGTGTTGATAAAAAGGTACTTTATTTTGTTAACGTCGGAGAGGCCTACATTTAAAAAAAGAAAAAGGAAAAAAAACATTAAAAATAAATATATTTCTAAATACATATGCATAACACAAATTGTTGTAAGGGCTAATGTATGAAGTATTACCAGGTACTTAGCTGAGTATATTGTAGATAAGCAAAAGAGCTTATACTACCTACTGCATTTCCATCTTCTTTGAAGCATCTCTGTCTCTTTCTGTTCTCTTTGAATATTTTGCCCTGACCCCTGAAGGTGACATTGCTGCTTGCAGTATAGAGTCTCCCTGGAGCCCACGTCAGCCCGCTAATATTTTGACAAATTCTTTTTTCTTTTTGTTTCTTTCAAATAGGTTGATATGAGCTCGCAACAATTCCCCCGACAAGGGGCTTCAATAACTCAATCACAGATTTCAGGAAGTGGAACTGGAGTGGGCCAAAGTGCTACAGGACCAGGTATGGAAGTATAGTGTTCAGGTAGCCTGATGATTCATCCACTTTACACCAGGGTTAGGCAACCTTTGGCACTCCATATGTTGTGCACTACATCTTCCCTGATGCCTTGACCGCATCATTGCTGTAATAGCAATATAGGAGGTTTAGTCCACAGCATTAGGAGTGGCAAAGGTTGCAGTTAAAGGGACATTGTAGGCACCATAACCACTTTGGATTACTGAAGTAGCTATGGTGCCTGGAGTCTGTGGGTGCAGGCTTCTGCATCAATGTTTACTGATTTACTCCCCATTTAGCTGAGATTCCCCGATTCTCGTTCCTTGGAAGCCTGCAAGGGGGACAACTGGAAATTTGAACTAAAATTGGCATGTCTATAATGTGACCTTTTAAAGGAACATTTCAAGAACCATAACCACCACACTGCACCATAGAGGTTATGGTGCCTGGGACTCCTGTACGCTCTGCGTTCTGAGCCTCTAAACCAAGTTTAGGAGTGCACAGCTAAGCTCATCGACTGAAAGTTATCAGCTTTGGGTTTGATTCCTGGTAGTGTTTTTCCAGCACCATTGCATAGGATAACTTGAACACCCTATACTGTATATAAAGAATAAAAAATACTGTTTAGTAAATCGTATTCAGTATAGTATTTTTAAATAATTACTACAGTAAAATACTGCATTGGTATGTGTTATATAAATTTTAAATATTATTTTGTTTATGGGTTTCAGTTGTTACCTGCAGTCTTTGTATTATGTTTACCAATGGTGACTAATTCTGCTAGTAGATGGTGGGATCTACTTTTAAAAATAAATAAGTAAATTTTTTCAGTGAATTATTATCTTATGTAAAAGATTTCAACTATTTTCTGTAGGAGGTGATGACTCTGCACGTGAAATAGAGATCCAGCCTCGGGATCATCTTGGGTCCAACGCGGTCTTGCCTTCTCGTGATGAGAAACAGGAGCCAGTGGTAGTTCGGCCATACCCTCAAGTCCATATGTTGGCTCCACACCACCCTGTGCAATCAGCTACTCCTCTCACCATGGCTGCCCAATCTCCTCATCTCGCCCCTGCTGTGCCGTTGCCGTTTCCAGAAGGTATCCTTAAGGTGAGATGGAACTATTCGGATATAATACAGTGGAATAAACATTACTAAACCATGACAAATAACGTATAAATATATGTCTATTGTATGTCAATGTAATCACATAACATATACATCAATAACGTCTATTTAATTGCATGCAATTTTAGGTTAATAATATTTCAGTTTAATTACATACAAATATAGGTTATTTTGTGCATCCTCCAAATTTTAGGGCAGCACAGATCTCATTTACTTTTTAATGCTATTCTTTGGGAATTCCAGACACAAACTAGCTTTGACACGTGAAGGGCTTATTTGTATTCATTTATGTTTTTGTTTCACACCAAATTTAATGGCCATTTGCCTTAAGGCATCACAGGGTGCAGTAATGCCAAGTCAGCCTTGAATGTATTGTAACCGTTACAATTCCAAAGCATGAGCTTTTTTAAAAAAAACATTCTTCAGTAATATATCTCTTACAATATTGTATGCAAGCAAATGCAATGTTCAATGTCTTTTAAAGAGTATATTGCTTTTCTGTTCATATGGTAAGTATCTGAAACCGTATATGCGGTTTCACTGGTGATTCTCTCTGAGCAGTTTAAAAAATATATATATATTTAACCCCTTAAGGACCAAACTTCTGGAATCAAAGGGAATCATGACATGTCACACATGTCATGTGTCCTTAAGGGGTTAAAGCTGTGCACGGTTGAACAGGTAATATAGAGTATTTCCTTTCTCAAATGGTTTAACCTCAACGATTACCTCTAGCGCCTGATTTCCAATTCCCCCAGCGGCATCCAACATCTGAAATAGATTTTTAGGAAGCGCAGAGTGCCACCTCGCAGGCGCGCCACTGACGTGCTAGAATGATCAGCTTACTCTCTAAGCAAATCAGCAGCTCCCCATTTATAATAAAACGGTATGTAGTTCTGCCTCAGGCCGATCCTTATTGGCTGATAGCCCAGGTGATATTAGTTCAGGGAGAATGGATTTAGCATAGCACAGGAGGAATGGTGGGGGGCACTACCATTGGCTGTTTGGATGCCTGTTTTGTGTATAATTGACATTTGCCATCCTGGAACTTTTGTTTTTGGCTGGCTAATGATGCTTCTGGAGGTGTAGTTACATCTTTGTATGTGCAGCGTTTTATATTGAAATGTTGTGTATACAGACTCCAAGCTCCATGACCACTTTAAATCACTGAAGTGGTCATGGTGCACGCACTAACCCTTTTAAAGAACATTTTATCATAGCATGACCGATATTAATAGCTTACTAAATATATCTTAAACTGACAAGCTTTTTCTATGCTCAGGATTTATGTAAAGTGTTTTTATTTCTTATTTTGACAGGTTCACATCAGTGGACGCCAATTTTGTGCTTGATATCTTATTTATCTTTATTTTATTGCTATTCTCTATTATGTGAAGTAAACCATTCATCCTCTGTTATGTGGTAATATCTCATCTGAGATTCTTTTACACTAGAAAAATAAATGGTATCTTAGTTGATATTTTAATCTTTGGTTTATCCTCTAAACAAAGGATCATAGCTTTTGATTAGTCTACTTTGAAAGAGTCACACACCTGCAAAACATTCTTTTAGAAAAAGTATATATATATCTTATCAATATATTTAAAATGTAGAGTAGATCTCATCAAATATCTAATTTCAATTATTTAGTTAAAGTTAGACCTCTAAACCTCTATTAGAGGCACGTTGTAGAGGGTGGTGATGTATGTATTCCCTTCCTCTTGTAACAGTCTAGCATATTGTCCTGTGAAGTATAATAAACATATTCGTTAAACAGCAATTTGAATGTAAAGGTATATTGCAAAATTTTTGCTAAAATAGTTCATTTGAAAAACATCAACTCTAATGCACTACTATTAACTGCTTAGTGAATATGATGCTCTATAGTGCATTGCAATCACACTGCCACAGAAAAGTACATATCGGAATTTGGCAGCCACTGGATGGCATACTTCACTAGACCTCTTCTAAATTGACCAAACACACTGTCCAGTTGAGCGAGGAACCATGGGAATGTTTGAGATGTACGGCAGCTGAAAATAGTTCTATATTTTATGCCTACAAATTCTGCATTTATACATTTTGCATACAACTCTTTAGGTCATTACCCACATGCTTGAGTTTTTAATTATTTATACAACATACATTAATTTGCCAAGAAAAATTTAGACCAGAGAAAAAAAGAAATTCTTGGTTTTTCCATTTCAAGTTGGGGGGTGCTTTTTTAAAATGTATTATTATTATGAAAAAAAATATGCTTGGCTCCACATGTTGGCACGTATATCATAAACCACTGATATTTGATTTATGGTGTACTTAAAGGCGAATTGACAGATATTGCATGTATAACCCAATATCTAGCCACATTAGCTGTGGGTTGTGACTTTGAGATTTTGTTTTTGTTTTGTCCTCCCCCTTTCTTTCTTGCATTATGTCACTCACAGGCAAAGCATACAGTACACATGGTTTTAACCCCCATTGTGCAATTTGCACATATTGCACTGCCTATGGAATGGCTCAGCATGCATGTGCTCATAAGTGCACTTTCCATGCTGCTAGAGTAAGATTGACACCTCTCTCTGAAGTGCTGCAGGGGTATATTATGCTTATCTCTGGTGCACTTAAATCGAATTTCACAGTGACTGGGGGATTCCTTTTTAATAACTCATAGCTCTTTCTGACAGAGCTGTACAGCAGCTGATTGCTGATCCAATGTCGGTATTTTTTTCATAATTGAAACTAGCTGTGTATAGCTTTCAGCAGAAAGTGCAGAGCTGATGTTGATTATCACGTGGGACAAATAAGGGAAATTCACAGGTGAGTTTGTGTTCAATACATTGGCAAAATAATGCATTACCCAAAAGAGGAGCGTGTCACAACCCCAGCCGGGAATATTTGGATAGAAAGTACTATTAACTGCCAAAGTGTAGCAAAATGACATACTCATAGAAATGTAATACAATCACTAATTAGCACATTGGTGACTCTTGCATAATTTTACTGCTGGTTAATCACTTCTCAGGGTTAAAAGTCAAATGTAAATAGGTTGATAGTGTGCAAGGAGACCTGCACGTATTTGGTACCAACACTGAACGACAATGGACCATATCATCCTCAACATGAACAGTTGGCAATCTTAGGAAGTATTTGGCATGTGCAGCTTGAGCAACAAACATAAAATGTCATTATGGCAAAATATGAGCATCCTGAAGTTTAGCCTTAATTGTTTCTAGGAAATGTTGATTCCTTCTTTGTCTTTTACTATAAGGGACCTGGATCCTTGCGGATAAGTCTGATGTAGATCCTGTTTTAAGCTTCTGTCTTTCAAGTGACTGCTGAAGGGAGTCAGATGAATAATTTTGTCTTGACAGAAGTTCACTATTGATGTCTTCCCACAGCCACCTCTGAAGCCCACTATTCCCAGCCGCCCTATTGCTCCAGCACCTCCCTCTGCCCTGTCAGCTGTACCAAAGGTCTCTGGGCCGGTGACAGTCACCATGGAGAGTGGCCTTCCACAGGCCTCCGCTATTCCTGTGGCCACTATCAGTGGGCAGCAGGTCGGTGCCTAGTGCTTAAAAAAATAAAACATAAAAAAATCATCTAGCTGTTTGCGTTGTCTCGGGTTCATCAGTGGGGTTTACTATGATTGCTTAAATGTATTCATGGACACATTGGGAACCACATAGACATTCCCATCCCACAGTTCATGGGATAATCTTACTTAACCTACTTTTTCATATAGCTAGTCTGACTGACCTTACTTACCACTTCTCATATTCTTTAATGACACTCTGGTATTCAATCCCATGCTTTAAAAATCTGATGTGTCCTGTATCCTATAAGTAACCCTCTAGTTATGTGATTAGCAGACATCCTGTTTTCAGTCTGATCAATGTATATGTATATCCACTCTTTTTTGCATCCCTAATATCTGTATTTTTACATCTTCTAGGGGCACCCGAACAGTCTTCACCACATCATGGCCACTAATGTCCAGATGTCCATTATTCGTAGCAATGCTCCTGGACCTCCTTTGCATATTGGAGCCTCACATCTTCCCAGAGGTAATGTGAAACAGACAGTTTATTACTTAACTTATTGCTGTATGTTCCAAGCATTTTCCTAACATTTTTGTTTTCTTTTGCAAACCAGGAGCAGCTGCAGCTGCTGTAATCTCCAGCTCTAAAGTAACTACAGTCCTTAGACCTGCTTCGGCACCAATTCCTAGTGCAGCCACAGCTCAGTCAGCAGCACAACATATTATTCACCCCCCCATCCAAGTAAGTAGTACTTTTATTTTTAATTCCTTTAAGAAAGTTTGGCCGAGTAATAGTGTAAGGTCATCCACACAGACAGAGACCCTATTCTCTTTACCCGCTTCTCATAGGCCACTATTACCCTCTTCTTGACCAATATGAGAAAAAAAGGGTTCGATGTGGAGAGGGCAAATAAGAGAGAACAAGTGGCACCCATGTCTGGTGCCATTAAATATAGGGATGGGAGAAGAGACAGCACTACGAATGATCATTTGAGCCCAAGCAAATTGATCTGAAGCCGCAGCGGCATAGCAGCAGAAATAAAGGGCCATTCAAATCAAGGTTGATGTTGCACCTGGTGTTTTCATATGCCTATCACCCCAGTATGAAGCCCACATGGTCCGGATAAACCAAGGAGGTCAACACTGTACTATTATTTAACACTGTAATAGTTTGGCGACGTTTTAGTGTCCGTATTAATAAGGTAGATAAGTCTTCAATTGCTAGGTTGGTCTGGTGATTTGCAAGGATTTATTGAGGGTAATATCTGCAGGAAGGGAGAGATCAGGACAAGATTCATCCTCCCGTACTGATTGAAACTAAGCAAGGAGTTGAGGGGCCAGTTCCTGAGAAAAGGTCTAACAGTATGCCATTGTAAATGCATTCAGGCCATGGGCTGTCCTGTTCTGCAGGGCTGAGCCTATGCTAGGGAGGGCAGATGAGTGATTATAGATAATGGACTAAAAAGAGTAAAACATCCCTGATACCTGTGGGAGATAGGATAAGGGCACCATCGGAGTCCATGATAGACAATATAGTTTTGAGAAAGTATGTTTGCAAGTAAGTAGTACTTTATGAAAATGAGTGAAAAGTATGTTTAAATTTAGTTAAATGTTTTTATGGGGTTTGTTTTCTTCAATATTATCATCAACTTCTAAAACGTAGGACTCTGTAGAGCATCTTATATGCAGACAGGATACAAATAAATGCCATATTTTGCTATACACAAATGCAAGCAAGCTATTTTATGGTGCTGGCTATGGAATCAAATTCATATCTTTTAAAATTAAGATTTGTTTCTTAATTAAAACCTTGTATCTAAAATGGACTATGAATATTGGTGTTCCTTTTCCAAAATCCACTGTTCGTGTAAGTCTGTTCCTGGGAAGAGTTTGATAATGTCTGACTGTCTGAAACCCAATTCGACCTTAGCTTCTATCTGGTTTAATAACTATGCAATTCCATGCTCTTCCTTCCAGTCTCGTGGCCCACCTGTGACCACTGCAACTTCCGTGACTCCTGCTGTAGTAGCTACTGTATCAGCAACTCGAGCACAATCGCCAGTCATCACTACAACTCCAGCTCATGCTGCTGAGCCAGTGCTAAGGTGAGAAACATTATTTTTTGTGAAATTATGGACGGATGGCCTAGAACTAAATGTGCAAACCCAGGCCATCCCAAATCTGTGACTGACTAGAGTGTTCAACCACTATTAATTTGTTCTGACACACCAGTGGTTTAGGCTCAGTGGATGGAAAGTATCTATAATGACGGTTTTTATACCTTAAACTTTGCTGCTTTAATTGCGGAGCAGGTTTGTAAAGGTGCCGTATATTAGGATACCCACTCTGAGTGGAAGCCCTGAATCTATACTTAGACAAATCACAAAATGATGTGCCATTTTTTTATGTTTACATATAAATAGAAACCATAATTTCAGTTCTGTTGCCTTCCTTATCGTAAAATCTGCCTATTTGAAATATCACCATAGCAAGCTCTAAAGTCCTTTCCCTCTTGGATGTAAACTATGTTGCTGAAAGATGTGTTCTATTGCTTTTCATTTTCATTATTAGACCAACACTGTCCATTCAACAACACCCATCACCTGCAGCCATCAGTATCCAGAGACCACCTCAGACTCGTGATGCCACCACACGGATCACTCTTCCATCACATCCCGCATTGGGAGCGCAGAAACAACAGATTCATGCAATGGCACAGGTACTCCATTTAGCCCTCAACTTTATGTACATTTACTCAATGTACTCATCAAGCTGACTAGTGGCCATATTTCAGGATATGCCAATTACAAGTCCCTGAAGAGTTAGGTTTTAATAACATGCTACACTTCACAAGATATATATTTAAAGAAAAAAACTATGGGACAAAAAAAATCTTGACCTGACACAGCCTGCAAGAGAATTCCATTGACTCGTATGGGTGTGTGTATGTGTGTGTGTGTGTGTGTGTGTGTGTATGTATATATATGTATATATATATATATATATATATATATAATTTTTTTTTTCTTGTTTTTTTTTTTTTGCATCTGTTTTTGTGTAAGTGCTTGTCTATGTATTTATTTATATTTTGTTTACTAAACTTGTACCGTTTTCTTTCTTTGGCAGAAGACTCTCTTCGGCACTGGTAATCCAGTAGCAGCAGCAACCGTGGCACCGATTCTGGCAACAAACACTCTGCCATCTGTGACCACTTCAGGTTAGACCGCTTTACAATGCTGCATGCAGCTTTACAATGAAATGAAACATCCATTATCACTGTTCTGAACAGTCTCTTCTGTTGGAACTTCGCTTTGCAATTAGCTTAGCTTAACAATTCGACTAGTTAGACTGTAAAAAACCGAAAACCTGCCGTTTAAAACTATAGCTGTTCATAATAAAAAAAAAAAAAAAAATGTTTATGTAATTGTTAACATGTTTTAAAAGTGGTGATGCTAGAGATTTTGCAAGTATAAAACGCTTGGCTGTTTATTTTCACTGTCTGGTGTTCATAGGTTCTTCTCCCCACTCACAAGTTCCCACCAGCGCCATTGTTACTATGACAATGCCAACTCACTCCTCACACGCTACAGCCGTGACGGCCTCCAGCATTCCTGTGGGTATGTGTAAATTTGCTTCTCAACCAATCTATTTTCGTTTTTAGGATTGTATTCACCAAGGGTCACATTCTATGCATGTGCTTTTCTAGAAACAAATTTTCAACTTGATCAACATAATCCAGCAAGTTCTAGCTAGCTTTCTTTGTGCTGCTATGCAATAGTCTTGTTCCATATGCCTGAAGCTGCTTGGAATGATAACTTGCACTAAAACCTTAGCTAATAGCTTCACATTATACCATTTTTTTTATTTGTATCAGGACCCATGGCCCATTTTCTTTTTTACTTTTACTTATTTTATTGACTTTGAAGTGAAAGCTAAAACCATATTTAAAACCAATGCATTTTCTTTCCTTGAAATTAAGAGACTAGTCTATTCTAGCAGTAGACAAAAGTTGACAAACTATAACTCCTGTGATGCTTTGCCAGCCTTAAGAATGGCAATATATCATGGGAGCAAAAGTTTAACAGGTAGGGGGGGGGGGGTGTACTATCTAACCAACTGTGGTCTTATTGATGGTATTATATTGGCTCTGGTAAACAACTATTGATTTAATACATTGTGGTTTTACAGCCAAAGTAGTCCCTCAGCAAATAACTCACACTTCACCTCGGATTCAGTCGGAATATGGAGCTGATAGGGGGAATCTGATACCCCTTCCAGGACATAGAGCATCACCCAACCCCATGACTATGGAGGCCAGGAGTGAGAACAGGTAAGATAGTGGTAGCACACTCTGCTTCGGTGTATGTATGTGTCCATTGAGACTACCCTAATTTTGAGCCATATATTTATTTATAGTTTAGTGCCGGATCTTTTAAATCTTACCCGTTTCTGGTCACTGTTCTTTCACCTACAATAATGAGTGTAGGCTGAAGATAATGTGGTATGCTCACTTCCTTAAACTTAACCTGTCAAAAACAGAACTTCTGGTCTTTCCTCCCTCAAGTGTTGCTACACCTGTGTCTGTCTTCCTCCAAGTCAACAACGCTATCTTCGAGTCTACCTCGCAGGCTCACTGCCTAGACGTTCTCTTTAATTCCGATCTCTCCTTCACCGCTCATGTCCAGTCGATCACCAAATTCTTCCACTTCCATTTCAAAAACAGTGCGCATCTGCCGCTTTTTAACGCCAGGCATTGCTAAGCTGCTTGTCCGTGCCGCTATCCTTCTTCGTCTTGACTACTGCAATCCACTTCTAGTGGTCTTATTTGTTCACCACTAGCCCCGTTACAGTCTATAATGAATGCGGCGGCCAGGCCCATCTTCCTGTCCCCCCGCACCTCCCACATATCAATTAAACTGTTAACAGCTTTCCCTCTCTGCACCCCGTTTCTTCTCCCGCAAGTATCATTAAAAAAAAAAGCCTCCAAAAAACTAAGCTCTCAGTGAATACTATTTTAGCAGCTGACTTTCCTTCCCTTCCCTTTTGTGTGACTATACCCCACTCCCTCTAGCATGTAAGCTCATTGAGCAGGGCCCTTAATCCCTCTGTTCCTGTGCTTCCAACTGGTCTAGTTACAAATACATGTTTGTTAGTCCAACCAATGTACAGCACTGTGGAATTTATTGGCTCTTTATAAATAATTTTAATAATGAAAAATAAGGCCATATGCCCAGTCCAAGCACAACTTGGTTAAGAGCTCACCTAAACCTTTGTGCAAGGATGAGTGCACAGCCCAACTTATACCTTTACCCCATCACTCTCTTATCCCAGTGGTGAACATGTCAAGAAACAGACTGAGTTGGCACCACCTAACCTTGCTTTGTCACACGATCAAATCAAGCACTTGTTTGTCAAAATACTTTGAACACCTTAATGACATACCAGAGCTATTGCTTGTCCCCCAAGGACAGAATTGTGTGATTAACACCGCAGGTTGCTCCTCTTGAACATGTTCAATAGCTGATGCTGCTGCAAAAAATAAAATAGCTCTACCATGATGCATTTACATTGCTGTTTCATTAAAGATTATTTTAAATTCCTCTGCTTTTATCATTCATTGTTATTAAATATATATTCTCTGTGGTTCCCAGGCAGGCTGTTGGAGTGCAGCTGCAGTACTTTCTCCCCACATATTCTCCATCTCCATATCCTTTGGCAGCTCACACCTACACCCCAATAACCAGCTCTGTATCCACCATCCGACAGTATCCTGGTAAGTCTCTAAAAAAAAGCCCGCTTAACAAATGTTTATCGTGTTTTTCTTATTGTAGCCTTGTTAGTAACACTATATGAAAACATTTGCGTTAAAAAATCTTCCCTAGTGGGACAAGAGTAGTTTCCTGCTCCTATATCCTCTACCAATAAAATATAACTTGAAGGAACACTATAGTCACCTAAATTACTTTAGCTAAATAAAGCAGTTTTAGTGTATAGATCATTCCCCTGCAATTTCACTGCTCAATTCACTGTCATTTAGGAGTTAAATCACTTTGTTTCTGTTTATGCAGCCCTAGCCACACCTCCCCTGGCTATGATTGACAGAGCCTGCATGAAAAAAAAACTGGTTTCACTTTCAAACAGATGTAATTTACCTTAAATAATTGTATCTCAATCTCTAAATTGAACTTTAATCACATACAGGAGGCTCTTGCAGGGTTTAGCAAGCTATTAACATAGCAGGGGATAAGAAAATCTTAATTAAACAGAACTTGCAATAAAGAAAGCCTAAATAGGGCTCTCTTTACAGGAAGTGTTTATGGAAGGCTGTGCAAGTCACATGCAGGGAGGTGTGACTAGGGTTCATAAACAAAGGGATTTAACTCCTAAATGGCAGAGGATTGAGCAGTGAGGCTGCAGGGGCATGTTCTATACACCAAAACTGCTTCATTAAGCTAAAGTTGTTCAGGTGACTATAGTGTCCCTTTAAAGGACAAAAAGCAGTGCAAAGTGAAGGCCTTTATGAGTGATCTTTTTAATTTGAATATAAGGAGATAGGCCTTTTGAGAGTGTGTGTGTTTTTTTTTTTAATATTAAAGAATAACATTCTCACTTTCTGTTATGCTTTAGAATCCTAAATTACTTTAAAGAACAAATTAAATGTGCAGCTATCTAAACCAATGCAGACCTTGTTTTTGAAATTATGTAGCATTTTTATAGAGGCTAAGTTAAAACCAAAATAACGCTTCAAAGTAACAAATGGCAAGTAGCAATACTGTAGCTCATTGTTTGGATCAACCATAATAGAGAAATCTCCCATAGAAGGATTAAATTAGTTACATTTATTTATCCAGCAAGAAGAGCATTCCCGGCTCTCTAAACAATGGCAGATGGGTGCTTTAATGCTGGATATAGTATGTGCTACAAATTTGTCACAAAACAAGCCCAGATTGCTAGTCCCAATTTCTACCATTGTTTATGGTCATGATGTGAGGAGTATCCTGGTGCTATTCCTTGGTAAAAGGGCAAACCATTTTACAGCTCTTGTTGTGGGCTGGCTAATGACGTTGTCAGAGGTGGAGTTCCAGCTCTGGCAGCAAATGGGTTAAACTCTGTATACGCAGAGTCTCCTAGCAAAACACTGAACATCAGACACCATGACCTTTTCAAATCACTGAAGTGGTAAAGGTGCTTGGAGGAACCCTTTAATACTATAACATTTTATACTGTTATGTATCTTTGTTTTCACTCAAAGAGGGTCCGCAGACTTTAAAACCACCGGATAACATATATTACAAATATTTTAAGAAATCTCTTAAAATCGTATTGTATTTTGTTACATTTCTATTTTTCAGTCCCTGCTCAAGCCCCAAACTCTGCCATTACAGCCCAGTCAGTTGCCTCCACTGTCCACCTGAACCCCATGCAGCTCATAAATGTGGATACATCGCATACGCGCCACATCCAGGGGATACAGCCTGCTCCAGTCAACGCACAGGGGATACAGCCTGCGTCATTCAGCACACAAGGCATGCAAGTCACTTCAATGAGCACCCAGGGAATCCAGCCACCTCCAATGAGCACCCAGGGAATACACCCTGTAACTACTCAGGGTGTTCAGACATCATCTGTCAGCTCTCAGCAAGCTCAGAGTGAAGGAAAAGCTTCAGGTAGTGGGGAAACCCCAGCCATGTCTGGATTAATATTTCATAGGCTAGAAAAAGTAACTTATCAGTGACTAGGGTGGGAGACGATGACCACTGAAGAGATGGTTTTGTAGTTTAAATTCTGTCTGGTGCTACCCTGTAAAGGGTTTTTTTGGTCAGATTGGAGATGTTCAGTTAAATATTTGTAGCTGGTGCACAACTTATGCTTAGAACTTAGTGAGTTAATACATACTGACAGTCACAAATCTAGCAGACTTTTATATTTTTTTAAAATAGATGTACCTTTATTGCCAGTCTCCCAAGGTTTATCAAATGCAAAAAAGGCTCTCCAGGCATTCATGTGCATTTGTAAATGTATTTAAGTGTGTTCATTCCTATTGCACCTTCTTGTGCAATGAGTGTGACCTAAAAATCACGTTGCTAATGACACACTGGTAGTTCTGTTACAAGCCCTTTCTTCACATTCCCTATCCCTGCTTTGCGGGTATCCTGTATATATAAAATGATTTTCTTTTCTTAAGAGTTAAGTTCTGTACATTCAGCCATTGGCCTAGCTTTATAAACTGCAACTATGAGGATTATTTATTAATGTGAGAATTTCGAAGTTAAGGACAAAGTAGCCTACCTGCAAACATACCTGACTTGGATATATATGCTTGCAGTTAGCCATATAACGGTTTGCTCTGTTTGTGAAATATTTCCATTTACCCACTTGGTGGTCATGTCCCTGGTAATATTAATGGATTAGTAGACTAAAGTTGTGATTATACTACATTGCTTATGCAGGTGAGCATAGTACTAGACTCACTCAGAGTAGACTCACCAGAGTAGTAAAGCAAATTGAAAATTGTTTACATTGCAAACTTTAGGATTTCTTTTCCTTCATTGCAGTTGTGCTTACAGAAGGTGCCACAATAGTTGCCAATCCTCTAAGCAGTGCTTTCAACACGGCTGCTGCTGGTGCAGCTGTAATGCAAAATCACAGTCAGAGCCCCGGAATTGGCAGTGCTCCATCTCAGGGATCGTCTCCTCGCCCCAGCATCTTGCGTAAGAAACCTACCACTGATGGGTGAGTGATTCGGTTATTGTATTATGGTTGTTTCATAGTGTTTTCTCAAAACCAAATACTTTTTCTGTTTTTTGGGGGGTAATCAGTATCTATAAATGGTTAGTAGAAAGCCTGCTTTTTGCTTGTTTGTTTTGTTTTTTTAAGTTCCTCTCAACACCCTCATTGTTTTGTTGCTGTATTTTCCAATCACTTAATTCTGGGAAATGTGTATTCAAATATTTTGCTTGTTGCTTTTTTCTGTTTACAGGTTGTCAGTAAGGAAAAATCTGATTCCTGCACACCCGTCAGACGCAGTAAGTCCACGTCAGGACACGTCTCTCCGCAATACTTCAGCTTCTCCTCGGCCTGCTGGGTAAGAGCTACAGTATATGTGAAATAAAACACAAACAGAAGGTGTATCACGGTAATCACCTTACTTTTGGGAAAATGTGGCAGCATACATATTTACATTTTGTGTAGGTTTGTTGTTGGTTTTTGTCTTTCGCTTTTTCATGCTAGACACTATTCTTTTGGTGACTCCTGAAAAAGATTATAATGTCCTGTGAATAAACATAGAATATTGGTGCCCAAAATCTGTACTAGAAAAATGTAAAATGTAAAGAGCCCAGTGTTACCATCCAGAAAATGTGTAATTATTATTTTATTATTTATATAGCGCCATCAGATTCCATAGCGCTGTACAATGGGATCAATATAAATATATGTAATTTTTTTTTATGGATATGGAACGGTCCGTGTGACTCTGTAACCTACTAAATCTCTTGCACTCTGCTACATTGAACCTGCTTTTTGTAGTACTGAGTTTTGGCTCCTAGGTAGTTAGAAGGCAGGAACTACTCATTAGAGCTTTTCTGGTAATCTTATCTTGACATTTATTTATGTATTCTGTAAACACAGGATTTCCATAGTAGGATTATATTTTTTTTAACATTTGGTTTTGTTTTTACTTTCCTTGTGCATAGTTTCCATTTTATAACTAACTACAAGTCCTCTTTCCATGCAGAGCTAAACCCAAAGCTGAACTTCATGTTTCTGTGGCTCCAGGAATGACTGGAGATCCAGGCATAGGTGGCGAGCAGCCTAGTGCAGCTGCATCGCTTCCATCTTCCCATCATCCTGCAGCCGCTGTACCCAGTCCTCCTTCTCAACCTATGCTTGGTCCCCTGGCTAGTAATATCCACGTTCCTCCTGCTGCCGTACCGGTTTTATCTGCGCCTCCACCTCTCCTGAGCAGTGCACCATCTGGAGCGACTCTCCCAGAGACCAAAGTGAAGGAAGAGGTGGAACCAATGGACATAGGAAGGCCTGTTTCAGGTATAGATTCTTCCTAATTCACTTCTAAAAAACATAAGACATGTCTTGCTAAACTGCTACCTGAGATCTTTGATGGGCATATATGATACACATGAAATATTCATATCCAACTATTTTTCAAATTGGCAATAATTCAAAGAGATGCTCAAGCTTTCCAATCATGTAAAACAGAGATGACAACGTGTAGATTCGCAGCTGTAGACCTACACATACCATACGTTTTGCCAACTTTAACAGCTGGGGATCTACCTTGTTGTAAGAGATTTCCTGGGATTTTTCACTAAAGTTTGTAATTTGTTTATTTTTTTTTCCCCCCTTTTCAGCAGTTCCCCCATTATCATCTAGCGCCATATCCTCCCCGCTGTCTCTGCTGGCCAATAACATATCAATACCTGTTGGAGAATTGCCACCCGGAGCCTCTCCCCGCAAGAAACCACGGAAGCAGCAACATGTTATTTCCACAGAGGAAGGAGACATGATGGAAACCCACAGCACAGATGAGGAGAAATGTCACACTATGAAACCTCTAATCTCTCGACCAGAAAAACGCAAATCCCCTCCTAAAGAATATATAGGTAATACATGTCACACAATGCTGTGCCAGATCAAAATCCTCAAAACTAGTGCAAAGCTCTTGCTTTAATCTAATTTACTTGGTTTAATAAAATTAAGCCCTTTGATAGATTGTGTCTGGCATCATTTAATTGTGTATTCAAACAAAAGCATAATATGAAAAAGTATAATTCTTTTTAAAGCTTTCTCATCCTATCTCTCTCGGCTATCATAGAGTGTCTCATTTTCTGGTGCCATCTCCTCCCCACTAGCTTTCTCAGAGTTTAGCAATTCTTTGTTCTTTCCCCCTTTGTCTATTTACACTGCTTCTCTTGTTTACCTTATTAGCGCATTTGAATTCAGTACCTGTATATTGACGTATCTTCTATATCTAACTAGATATATTCTAAAACCCAATATTTCTGCAACTGGACTTCTCACCTTTTCTAAATATTCCACTTCCATCTATCTACCTGTTGGTAAAAGCAACACCCATTACCACAACTTCTTAAACTCACAATCTGAGTTATTTGCTGTTCAGATGTCACTTTATTCCCTAACCTCCAGTGTGCCTTTCAATCATGCATTGTCCACCATAAAATACAGCTCATATTTGCCCCTATCTAACTCAAGGTACGGCTATGTGGTTTATTCGTGCATTTTTCATTTCCCACCATGACTATTTAAACTTCTCATCTACCTTCCAAATACTAGTATTACCTCTCCAAAATCACTAATGAATGCTGCCACCAATCTTACCTTCCTGACTCCTTGATTCTCACTCTCACCCCTTTGTCAGTCTTTACGTTTCTCCATTTTTAATTTTTTTTGCAATGTATGCTTTTTATTGAACATTTTAGATAGATTCCAAATAACCATTTAATCCAAAGATGTAATGTTTTGAAAAGGCCACACGCTTTCTTTGGAACGGCCTGCTTTGCATTTTTATACTTTTCCTAGCCTGCAGTCATTAAGAGTTTGTTTAAAAATTCATCTAGGTTACTCTTCTCTCGTAACAATTTCCCACCTGTCCCTATTCACTTTACTTGTGCTTTCATACCGTACAGTTCCTCCATACACCACTATTTGTAGCTTAAGTAGACAGTCTTATATCTCTCAACCTTTTCTCCCCTCTGCGACAATGTTGTTCCCTTTTTTGTTTATTTACCCCCTCCTCCTAGATTGTAAACTTGTTTGTGAAGGGCCTTCTTCACCCTTTTGTCTGCTAACAGTATTTTTTTGTGTTTATTGCTATTGTTAAATAACCTCATTGTAGAACTGTAAAATGCAGTGTATAGTGTCGGCACTGTATAAATGCTAAAAATCCTTATCTTGATGTTTGTCCCTGTCTGCAATGTGTATTTTCAGATGAGGAAGGTGTGCGGTATGTTCCAGTTAGGCCACGACCTCCTATCACCTTACTTCGCCAGTATCGCAATCCTTGGAAAGCGGCGTATCACCACTTCCAGCGCTACAGTGACGTGCGGGTCAAAGGTTAGACTCGAGTGAATATTATAGTGTAGAAGACTTGGTGATCTAAAGAGCATATGTATCATGATGCTCTATTAAGAATGGTTGAATTGCACATGTGACTGTTTTGTAAGACGTATTTGAAGAGTTACTTGTCTGACCACTCATGCAGCCTGCTCACCTGTTTATTTATTTTCATTACAGAAGAGAAAAAGATGACACTGCAGGATATAGCCAGTCAGAAGGGTATAGCCTGCCGTGTACAGGGCTGGAAAACACACCTGTGTGCCGCACAACTGCTCCAATTGGTAATTTTTTAATGTGATTCTAGTCCAGAACAGCCAGGTTTACTGTTTTCATGTACAGTAATTACTTCTTTGTATACATGAAAAGCATTACCTTTTAGTATGTAGTATTTATGTGCTGCTGAAAAAGACCTCAGTTAAACTTTAAAGTCGGTCCCTTTTGGTTTTCCTCCTCAATTAGTAATTTTTCCTTCCTGCAGGACAGGAATTCCAGGTACTAGAGCCAGCTCTTTTCATGAGCAAAATAAATATGTTCAGGATGTATGTGGTGCCTGTAGGCTACGCTGGCAGAATTGTTTTTTTTGCCTCTTTCCAATGTTGAGTCTTGCACTAAATGGTTTGCTTTTTCTTCAGACTAAATTGGAGCAGGATGTATTTGATCGGTTAACTGTACTGCAAGAAGGACTCATTCCCAAAAAGAAAACTTCTACAGATGATGATTTGCATAGGATAAATGAGCTGATTCAGGTACACATCCCACTCCTGATATCTGACTGAGGTCAAATAACATGTCTCGCTGTTTTTGTTTTTTTGTTTGGTTTGTATCCCCTTATCAATATGTAATTGACATAGTTTGAAGCATCCCTTATCAGACCAGTCTCGGTCTTCCTTCATCATTGAGTTCCAGCCCATTGCTTTGGAATTTATTGCATAGCTGCTGGACTGTTTACACGCAAATCTAAATTGATCTCGATCAGCACTATTGTGTTCACTTTTGATTTGGGCTGATTTGTTTTTCATCCCTAAAGTCCATGTTCACCTTTTTTTTTTTTTTTAAATAGTACTAAAGCTCAAACTTTTTCTTTATATATTTATTTATTTTTTTCCCTTCATTCATTTATTCATGCAATCCATGGGATTTTTATCTAGTACTTTGTTGTTTGAGACTGTATTCTTCTTGTGATATAAAGTTTCCCACCCATAAGGTGATCCTGCTCTACTCCTCAATATATTAGTTGTTTTGTATCCAGACTCCAAGAATAGAATTTTACAGGTTTTTTTTAGGCAGCTGGTGTTGAACTGAGGTTGTTGTGCAGGGTACATGTTCTCTGAGCTTTACACATAATATCATATTAGTGGAAGGAGCTAAATATTATCCTCTCTTATCTGACAACCAGAGGTCAACTAGAATATAACCCATAATCCTACAGAAACTAAAGGTGAGAAAAATTTCAATAAGAACAAATAAAATAATTCTTGCTGTAATAATCATCAGCAAATGCGTAGGTTTAAATGGCAGAATGTTGCGGGCTCAATTAGTACCCACTCAGAGTCTAGCGTGCTGCTGCTTGGTTTGCGTTGTAGAATAGCACTTAAGGCATTGGGTACAAATAGCTATGCACATATATCTTCCGGTTCTAATTGAAATTAAAACTAATTTGTATAAAACTCTCTATTGTAATATATGCTGAATATGTAACTTGTTTTGGGTTTTTTTAACAGTCAAATCTATTTCACTGAAAAAGATTTACGATCCCTGTCGTGTGTAGCGTTGGTGGTGCAAAATAGAGCAGAAAAAATAATTCAGGAACTTCATGATATATTTTGTTATGTTCCTCTCCATCCACCACTCTCTGACGTTGAAAGTTTCACAATGAAAAAAATCAGAGCCTGTGTATGCATGGTTCTAAGGAAGAAGGGTTAAATAAAATGTTGCCTTAAACAAACCTGTACTAATAACAAACCTATAGGACTGGTAAGAATTAACCATACTGAAAGGTGCATTTTCAGGTTCCATGACTTTCTCTCGCATGTTGAGGCCTCTTCTAATATTTGTCTTTATCTTTTGACAGGGCAATATGCAGCGCTGTAAGCTAGTGATGGATCAGATCACGGAGTCCCGGGACTGCATGCTTAAAGTACTTGATCATAAGGATCGTGTTTTAAAGTTGCTCAATAAGAGTGGGGCCTCTCGCAGGCTTTCAAAAGTTAAACACAAGGACAAAGTGTGAACCCAGGACCAGCACACCCGATTTCATTTAACTAAGGACAGTCTGCATTCCTGCATCTGTTCAGCCAGAGTCAATGGAGTACCAGTGGCAGATTGATTTATATATATATATATATATATGTTTTTGTTTTTTTTATAATTTTTTTTTTTTTTTCAGGACTCTATTTGCTCAAGATACAGCCCATATCAGGACTTTGGCCTGATACTTGGTCCCAAATGGGGCTTTAGTATTGCCTTCTGTAAAGAGGGTTGATCTTGGCTTGATTGTGTTTCCTGGTGCTGCGTGTGAACACTGTTCTCTGTGGCACACATATGGTTGTGTATAGTGCTGTTCCCCCTAACTTGTTATAACTGTCACAATGTAATAGTAATTTAGCATTTCCTAACTTGTATTCACATCCTATGTCATCCCTCGGACGGTGGTTTCAAAACACCACTGTCCACAACTTAACGGTGTAAATCTACTGCTGTTAAGGGTGTTATGTCCGTCTCAAACAAGGTGACTCCGTACCGATATGTATGTTGTATGTAAATTATCCAAAAAATCATGTGAGCTGGAAATTAGCGGTTTCCTTTTCCAGTTTTTTTTTTTTTTTTGCTTTAAATACAAATTCTCTGTTACAGTACCTTTATAAACACTGTTTTCAGATATTTATGAAAGATTTCACATTATTGGACAAACTAGACCATATGGATGATCATGCTGCCTTTTTAATTAGGAACATTATTCAAGATCTACGCACTTGGAGTCTGGAGTCTTGAGGTTTTTCTAAGCCAATGATTTATACAATAAAAATGTTCCTGCCGACGTGCCAGCTGCAGGCTATAACTTACGAAGTGCTCATTGTAGTCTATGTAGTTCAGGGCAGCAAATAGAGGAAATGTCACACACTTACGATTGCCAGGTGAGGATTTGATTGTTTCATGAATAGATTTAATGGAGTCCAGTCCTTTTAATTTACCAAGCAAGATGAAATGGCACTTAAATAACAAAGAAACAACTCAAGTATAATGGGAAAGTAAATGCTGTTAATTTAAAAGTTTTGTTTTTCTGTTTTTTTTTTTTTTTGGTGGGTATTTTTTCCCTCTTGTCTACTTAATTCTTCATTACAAGGCAACCGGTACTTCCTGGTTTTAATTTCACAACTATTATACATAGCATAATCTCTATTAAGTGCCACATGTGGCCCATCTCGCAGTACAGATGTAAGTATTCTTGTTGGTGTGGGTCATTTACTGCAAATGCAATAACCATTTCATTACATTCTAGATGGTGCAGGGATTTTAACTCCTCAAGGACAGATGTTGGCATGTCATGCTAATCTTTTCTTTAGTAACCCAGTTGCTAAATGGTCTGATACTAAACAGTTAATTATACCATAAATGTTAATTGTCGTTCCCTCAAAATATGTTGCAGTTTTTCTACATTTGTAGATTGTGGCAAAGAAATTTAGGGAATTAAAATATTGACACCAAAATAAGAAATTCTCCTACTCCCTTTTTGATGCTTGGAACTGTGGTGCAGTTTTAGTGCATGTAGCAGTTATGTAATTAGTATTCCCCCCCCCCCACAAAGATAGATATATATCTATATCAAATTGGTCCTTTTGCCTGACCAGCTGAATTGCCAAAGGTACAATAACGTACCTGTAACATAAATAAATAAATAAGGTGATTGCCAAGTAATGACTTGGGGTAATTTCACTTTTACAATTTTTTTTTTTAAACATTAACAGCCTATTGTGATAATACTTTTATTTTTTTGTAGATGTTTGTAAATGTGTTTTTATTGAGATACGTGCTACATCTGTTTTCTTTTAAAAAGCAGTAATATTGACCAACATGCAAATAAACTGTGTTCTAACCACAACTTACCAGCAAGCAACATATGTTTACAGAAGGAATCTTTGCACATCCGGCAGTTAATGTTGATGAATATAGACAAAAATATTAAATCTAATTTGGCCATATCCGGTCATACTTACAGTATTAAGTCTGATGTTTAAACACTACAACTGCTAGGGATCAAAAAACATTTTAAAAAATATAACACATACTAGCAGAGATGTTGAAATTTATATTTGAAGTTGAGGTTTTTTGGTTTTTGTCCCTATGTTATTTAAGCGTCACTGAGTCTTCGTCTGCTCCCTTAAAAAACCATTAACTTCATTTTGCTTAAAAGGATAATATAGACGTCAAAACAATCTTAATTAAGTAGTTTAGGTGTATAGATCATGCTCCGGCAGTGTCACTGCCCAATTCTCTACCATTTAACAGTGAAATCACTTTTGTTACTGTTAGTACAACCCTAGCCAAACCTGTCCAGCTGTGACCTACAGCATGTGTGAGGGAAAAAAGTTTAATTTTCAATTTAGAAGTTTGTATATCCTGCACTGTAAATTGAACTTTAATCATACACAGGATGCTCCTGCAGGATCTAGAAGAGCATAGACATGAAATGCTAAATTAACAGAATGTGCAATAAAGGAAGTTTAAACATTAGATCTCACCTTACAGGACGTGTTTACGAAGGCTGTGCAATTCACATGCTGGGAGGTGTGACTAGAGCTGCATAAACAACGTGATTTAACTCCTAAAAGGCTTAGATTTAAGCAGTGATATTGCAGGGGCATGATCAATAAACCAAAAAGGCTTCATTAATCTAAGTTTTTTTTTATGCTTATATTATCCCTTTAAGCAAAATTAAGTTTAATGTTTTTTAAGGGAGCAGACGACTCAATGAAGCTTAAATAACAGGGACAAACAAACCAACCAAAAACTTCAAACTTAATTTTTAGAATTTCTGCTATTGTCCATTAGATTTTGTAAATTGGTAATAAAAAGTTTACAACTTCTTAATAAGCATGTGACCATAATGTCTAATATTTTGATCTGATCATTGCAAATTGGACAAATGTATTGCTGCAAGCAATGAGTCAGCCCATCTGGAAGAGATCTTTAGGTAATCCTAGAAAATGCAGATAATTATTACTGGAAATAAATTTTCTGTGTAGTTTATATAAGCTAATTTAATTGCAAAAACTGATCTAATGCCTTTTAATATAAAAAGATAAAAAAAAGCATGTGGCATGAGCTCAAAAATGGAAAATTCCATATTTGGTCTTGTATAAGGAATGCTGACCTAGGGATTCTCCTGGATGCCTTATGTAGACTGATATAGTATCTGCATCTTTCTGTTATAGAACTGTTTCTCTCAAGTGGATATCATTTGAAAAGGTTTCTTGTGTCGCACTTTCTAACCTGTCTTAAATTTTTTTTTTTAAATCATATTTAACACTAAAGATATTAGTTCGATTCCCCTGAATTTGAAATAGGTTTTCTTTGGTTAAAGGGACACTCCACATCCCTAAAGCACTTCACCTTGCGTTTTTTTTTTTTGGTTTGGTTTTTTTCAATTTGGAAAAAGTGCAGATTTCAATAAAATTTTCTTATATTTAAAATTAACCTTTCAACCTGTTCAGATTGGTGGAGCTAAACTCAAGAGGCAGGCACTTGTTCAGAGCACATGCCTTGCAAACAGATCTCATTGAGCTACATTGGGAAGTCTGTAACTGGACAGCCACAAAGTCTGGGTGGGGTATGAAGGGGACGGCTTGCAAAGGCTTCAGATTAGAGATCTTCAGCTTTTGCAAACTTATTACTTACCCCATTAAACAAACTTCAGAATTAAATATATGCATGTTTTCTTTGTTTATCTACTAAACAGTATTTTTAAAAAAATTTGGTTAGTAGGGTGTCCTTTTAAAACTTAAATTTAGCTCTATAAGAAGCTCATGTGGTGGTTTATTCTTCTGCTATTCTAACTCAATCGTATTATTATTGCCATTTATATAGCGACAACAGATTCCATAGCACTTTACAATATTATGAGAGGGGGGATTTAAATATAAATAGGAGAATAAAAAGAAAACTTACAGCAACAATAGGTTGAAGAGGACCCTGCTCAAACAAGCTTACAGTCTATAGGAGGTGGGGTATAAGACACGTTAGGACAAGAAATATCAAATAGGGTGGGAGTGAAGCCAAGCTGGAGGAGAGAGTAAAACACTGTCCCATAGGAGAGAGCAGGAGACAGGTATGTAAGATAGAGATTACTCTGGGAGGCCATAAACTTTCCTAAAGAGATGGGTTTTAAGGCACTGCTTAAACAATTGAAGATTAGGGGACAGTCTGATGGAGGTAAGCTGGCTATTCCATAGGAAAGGAGCCGCCTGCGAGAAGTCCTGCAAGCGTGAGTTGGCTGTACGGGTGCGAGCAGCGGTCAGGAGATGGTCACGGGCAGATCGAAGGGTACGAGGAGGGGCATACCTATGGATCTGTGAAGAGATAAGAGGGGCTAGAATTGTTCAGTGCTTTAAATGTATGGGTTAGCACTTTGAATTGACCCCTATGGGCTACAGAGAGCCAATGTAAGGACTCTTCATAATACAGTTACCGGTAAGTTTATTGTAAACATGCAACAGAATGCAAGCATTCCCATGTATATCAGTGGTCTGCATTAGAACAATAGATATTATAATGACCGCATGTCTGAAATGTTAGTTATCCTCTTTCTTCTGGTATTTAGAGCACCATGGATTTCTATGTATGCACCTTGTAAATAACGCCTGAATAATTAATTATGTACCTTCTCTGAATTTATTATTTTCCCTTTTTTATTTATTCGCCTAAACTAATTTTGGTGAAATTTAAATATGAACATGCAAAATTTCCCCATCAACTTAACATCTATTTATTTTACATTTTCTGTTTAATGAGTTTGTGATAATTTCACAAACCGGTAAAGCACTGAGCAAAGTACAAATAAAGTAAGATCACATTAGATAGAGGTCAAGGAAAGACTGCAATATAACATCCAGTTGTTTATTCAGTTTCCATACAAATTACAAAATCACGCATTAGTAAAGCGAGTGGATTAACTACACCAAACTAACATTGTTTTAGTGGCCTTGAAACAATCTAACTAGAGCCCAGGCATACGGGTGTAGAAAAACCTTTTACTGAATTAGTGCTTTGATGTAGTGGACTCCATGGTCCGATTTCAGACCTGAACCCTCGATAGGTGCTATGTGTTGTGCACTTGGTGAGGTAAAATCAACCAGGGAACGAAGGGATAACACCGTATCCGTCCTTGGTATCACATATCCTAAAGCCCTGAACTAATGCAATATAGTGTGAAATCCATATCTTGAAATAGCAGCGAGAACTACATAATGCAAGTTACTTTATGTGAGGATCGTTACGCCATGGATCCCAAATGTTATGGGAATGTTTAGAGATTTTGAGGATTTTTGTCATTAATCTGTCCACCTCAACTGCCTCTGTAATTTGAGGGGTTACTGTGTTAAAGGGACTCTATTGTCACCAGAACAACTACAGCTTATTGAATTTGTTCTAGTGAGTAGAATCATTACCTTCAGGCTTTTTGCTGTAAACACAAAAGAAAATGCAGTGTTTACATTACAGCCTAGTGATAAGTTCACTGGCCACTCCTCAGATGGCTGCTAGAGATCCTTCCTGGGTCATGGCTGCCTAAAATGCATCCACACATTCGGTATCTCATCCCTCTGCATGCAGGCACTGAACTATCCTCATAGAGATACACTGATTAAATTCATCTCTTTGAGGAGATGCTGATTGGCCAGGGCTGTGTTTGAATTGTGCTGGCTCTTCCCCTGATCTGCCTCCCTGTCAGTCTCAGCCAATCCTATGGGGAAGCATTGTGATTGGATCAGGCCACCACTTCTGATGATGTCAGAGGAAGTTCACAGGCAGAGTCAGCAGCTTCAGACTTGAATACAAGTAAGATTTTACAATCTTCAGGGAGGCAAAGGGGGCTATATAGTGGTTTTAACACTATAGGGTCAGAAATACAAGTGTTGGCATATTCTGTGAGCTCCATAATTCATCTATTGTTCGAGTCACGGCAAGTGCTATTCTATTGACCATCTTATTGTGCGCCCTAGTGATCATATCCCACGGTTTTGAGGCAGCCTGATCCACAGGTCAAGTGAAATATCTTTCTGTAAAAGCCTAGATGCCAATCTGTCAACATCTTCACACAGGGCCAGTACCACCATAAGTGGATACATGTTTTACTGATCCCACATTGTATCCAATAACATTTCATATCTACTACACATATCCATTTAACAGATCAGTAAAATAATTTGATAAACTCCACAGCCATTGAAACATATGTACAAAAGGTCATATAAATGAAAAGGATCGCCAGCAAAATGACAGAAATACAAAGTGAAATGTCCCTCAATTTATTATTTTTTTGGCTAATGTAGGTTTGTACCAGTTTTCTAGTTCATACGTTGTCATCATCTAATTAAGAACTGAAAGTTTAGTGAAGTGGATATAATGAAAAATTTTGACAGCGTAAATAAATACTAAAACCAAAATGCACTCTGGAAAGAGGTATTCAATTCCTGCATAGCTAGTAACAAAGCCCTAGGTATCAATCTAATTTTTTTATTAAGGCTGTTTGTAATTTAGAGATTATATAGATGTCTCTTAAACGTTAAATTGGGGCCACAATAGCCGGTTTTATACAAATTAATTATTTTCAGTGTTTGGTAATTAATGTTAAGTATTTGTTACAGTGTTGAGGAGCAGTATGAAAGGCAGATAGTGTCCCCTGATACATGCTATGGAGATATTAAGGTAGAGTAGTTGGTGCAATAAGAGGTGAGAGGGAGATTTTATTTTTCCCTCCAAGCCCTGTGTTGGAGAGGAGACCCATTGGTAGGGAAGCCATTGGTAAGGAGGCAGCACTGTGCAGCCTGCTCCATGACCTGACTGACTAATAATAACTGGATCCTTCCTATTATTAGCCCTGACTCCGCCCCTCGCCTCTCATTGGTCGCTCCCAGGACACGCAACGGCAGGGATGGATCGCGCGCTGCCATTGGTCAGCTCCCTTCTCTGACGTACCCGGCAGCTGCTTTCCGGTTCCGGTTGGGTTCGGCCCGGTTCGGTTCGGCTGCGGATGGCAGAGTCCGGGCTGAGGGCTGGCAAAGACCGGAACCGGGAGGAGAAGGTGAGATGGAATGTTTACATAGCGATATGTACTATGGGGCCCGGTCACCAATGGAACGGTATCCTGGTATGTGGCCCTTACATTCACACACAGACTGTCATACATGCACACACAGACTGCCAGACTGCACACACAGACTGCCATACATGTACACACAGACTGCCATACATGCACACACAGACTGCCATACATGCACACACAGACACACAGACTGTCATACATGCACACACAGACTGCCATACATGCACACACAGACTGCCATACATGCACACACAGACTGCCATACATGCACACACAGACTGCCATACATGCACACACAGACATGCACACACAGACTGTCATACATGCACACACAGACTGCCATACATGTACACACAGACTGCCATACATGCGCACACACAGACTGCCATACATGCACACACAGACTGCCATACATGCACACACAGACTGCATACATACAGACTGCCATACATGCACACACAGACTGCCATACATGCGCACACACAGACTACTGCCATACATGCGCACACACAGCCATACATGCATACATGCACACACAGACTGCCATACATGCACACACAGACTGCCATACATGCACACACAGACTGCCATACATGCGCACACACAGACTGCCATACATGCACACAGACTTGCCATACATGCACACACAGACTGCCATACATACACACACAGACTGCCATACATGCACACACACAGACTGCCATGTACACACACAGACTGCCATGTGCACACACAGACTGCCATACATGCACACACAGACTGCCATACATACACACACAGACTGCCAAACATGCACACACAGACTGCCAAACATGCACACTGGGCAGAAACATGCACACACAGACTGCCAAACATGCACACACAGACTGCCAAACATGCACACACAGACTGCCAAACATGCACACACAGACTGCCAAACATGCACACACAGACTGCCAAACATGCACACACAGACTGCCAAACATGCACACACAGACTGCCAAACATGCACACACAGACTGCCAAACATGCACACACAGACTGCCATACATGCACACACAGACTGCCATACATGCACACACAGACTGCCATACATGCACACACAGACTGCCATACATGCACACACAGACTGCCAAACATGCACACACAGACTGCCAAACATGCACACACAGACTGCCAAACATGCACACACAGACTGCCAAACATGCACACACAGACTGCCAAACATGCACACACAGACTGCCAAACATGCACACACAGACTGCCATACATGCACACACAGACTGCCATACATGCACACACAGACTGCCATACATGCACACACAGACTGCCATACATGCACACACAGACTGCCAAACATGCACACACAGACTCGTCATATTATGGGGAGGGTCATACACGTACACACAGACTCGTCATATTATGGGGAGGGTCATACACGTACACACAGACTCGTCATATTATGGGGAGGGTCATACACGTACACACAGACTTGTCATATAATGGGGGGCTCATACACGTACACACAGACTTGTCATATAATGGGGGGCTCATACACGTACACACAGACTTGTCATATAATGGGGGGCTCATACACGTACACACATACTTGTCATATAATGGGGGGGTCATAAATGTACACACATACTTGTCATATAATGGGGGGGTCATACATGTACACACAGACTGTCATATAATGGGGGGGTCATACATGTACACACAGACTGTCATACATGTACACACAGACTGACAGTCTGTGTGTACATGTATGACCCCACCCATTATATGACAGTCTGTGTGTACATGTATGACCCCCCCATAATATGACAGTCTGTGTGTACATGTATGACCCCCCCATAATATGACAGTCTGTGTGTACATGTATGACCCCCCCCATAATATGACAGTCTGTGTGTACATGTGTGACCCCCCCATAATATGACAGTCTGTGTGTACATGTATGACAGTTGGACACATAGGAACAAAGGGGTTGAGGGCCCTGCTTGATGAGCTTACATGCTAGATATGGGTCTCTAGCCACACCTTGGATGCCTGAATTATTTTTGTACTTCAGTTTCTTGTTAAATAACTCCATTGTATAATTGTAAAGCACTGTGGAAGCTGCTGTTACTCTTAGTGAACAAATAAAGTGGAAATCTAATGTTAGAAAAACCCTGGCATTCTAGTTGTTCCTTATAGTATATTTAAAAAAATTTCAACAGAATGTGGGGGTTACAGAAGGAAATAAAATGGACTAAAGTTTTACTCCAAGCACCATAGCCACTGCATCCTGCTCTAGTGGTTATGATGCCAGGTTTACCCTGGCCTGATTCCCAGTAATATGGCAAACAGTTTTTCAATACTTTGCCCTCTTATCTGGGTCCTTCCTGTGCTCTGACGATCCTTTCTCTTCAACTAACACGCTTCTGCAGATCCGAATCCAGTTGCCATTGAATGGCACACTTTGCAAATAAAATTTAACTTATTTGACATTAGGCAACTGCCAGCGATGGCATTCCCTCTCCAGGAGCAGAAGGGTTAAACTCTGTATGTGCAGCGTGACAGGGTGAAATGCTGCACATACAGACTCTAGGCAATCATCTATATGAAATACATTATTAAAAGAATTGGCACAGGAAGGCCTGTAAACAAGAAGAATCGCTAATGTGAAAATGCTTCATCTCAGGCACATAAGCTTTGGGGATACTGTGGTTAATTCACTGAATTACAAATTGTTGTGAATTGAAACCCAGATTGCAAAATATAGGCTAAATTAGCCAAAATGTGACTTTATAGAAGCAGGAAAACTAAACTAAATGTAAATATTGTCAAAAATTAAAATGTCAAATATTGCAATTGTGTTTTTAACGCTCAACTGCAGTGAACTAAAGGGATACCACAGTGTTGGGAATACACACCTGTATTCCTAATACTATAGCTCCCTTGTGGCCCCAACCCTCCGGCCACTAAATGGTTTAACAATAAAAAGAAAAAACACCTTTATATTCTTACCCGATCCCAGCGCGGATGTCCCTCGGCACTCCACCTCCTCCCACGTCATCCGATAGGAGCGGGTGCTAATTCGCCACAAGCACATTAGGCCCTCCCCATAGGAAAGTTTGAATCAATGTTTTCCTATGGGGTTTTCACTATTTGTTCTGGTGAGTATAGGCAGGCTCTTCAGGCTTTTTGCAGTAAACACTGCTTTTTTTCCGAGAAAATGCATCACTGATATTCAGTGTCTCCTCTCTCTGCATGGAGACACTGATCTTTCCTCATAGAGATGCACCGATTCAAAGTTAGACTTCAAAGTAATTTTTAAATGTAAGACCATAGTAACTGAACGGAAAGCATAGCTGTCTTAGATCATACTTCCAGTTCAGCTATTTTCAATTATGAATGCAGGTCAGTTCAGTCTTTAGTGATAACCCTGATATTATTGCTGAATATGATAAAAAAAGAAAAATAAATTCCCTTGATCAATGTATCTCTCAGTATGGGAAATTAACATGATGTAACTATAAAAACATGGAATACCTAAAACCCTCAGTTCCCCGCAGTCCTGCATCAGTTTGACCTTCACATAAAACAGCACACCATGCCCCAGTCACATCGACTGCTATAATGTGTGTGAAAGACTTTGGACTGTACTGCATTCCTGCACTTAAAAGGAACCTGTTACCACTTACCTGAACCATGTAAGTCACTCCCTTCCTATTCTCCTTAGCCAGCATTAGCTGTGCTGGGTAGGTAGTTACTATAACAACCACAGTGCATGCAATCTAATTTTATAACTTTCCATGGCACCCTATATTTAATACTTTTGCTTCATAAAAAAAAATGTATATATAAAAATTTACAATATTACATATATAATGTTTTTGACGTATATCCATTATTATTTGTGCCAAACCGTTGCTGATGGTAGCTTTATCCTTCAGTCATATAGCCATACTACCATGCGCATATATTTTTTTTTGCAGCTCATCCTCTCTAAATTACAATTTATCAATTTTCCCCAATTTCCCTCCCCCATTATCCAAATTCTGCCATACCTAGCTGCCATTTCCACATTTAACCAACCTTCATTATATTCAATCCACGACTTGGTATTATGGCTTCCAAAATATTCATCCTATTTCACACTACAAAAACTCTGATTTTATGCTCTTATCTCCCAGCGTGACTACTTTACTACCTTATTAACATTTCAGACACCCAACTGACTCCGCTCAAATCTATGCAAATTCTGCTCATCTATCATTTCACTACAGCCATTCCATTAAAAAAAAGTGTCACTATCTACCAGTCTAAACATATAAAATCATATCCTTGATTTACTAAGCTTTTCACAACTCTCCTGGCTTGTATACCCCTTTCTGTCGCTATGTTTCAGTCCCTCTCTAAAAATATAACATACCAAAGGATGAATGAATAGACAAAGGGGAAAAAAAATCAATTTGTGTAAGTTTACATATTTTAATTAATTTTTTTGGTATGCCACACTTCCCAAGTAGGGAAGTATGAATTGAGGATGATGTTTGGTACTTCCAACTCGTGTGTGTGTATATGTATGTATGTATATGTGTGTGTGTATATATATATATATGTGTGTGTGTGTGTGTGTGTATATAGATATATACATAATTATATTTCAATTTACCATATATGCTTGAGTAAAAAGTTGACATTTTTACTATATAAAAACCTCCCAAGTCCTACTCCGACTCGATAGCCATGGTTTTATCCTATGTTTCATGTGCTAGCTGGCTGTGCATGATTAATGTTTTGTAATGCATTTTAAACAAAAATAACTTTGTAGTTAAGGGGTTAACAGAAAGTGGTTTTACAGACTTTAAAATAATTGTGTCAGACTAAAAGACATGTCTTCTGGGATTGCACGGTACCAAATCACTTTTGGCACTCTCAAACTCTGCTTGAAACCAGAATATTTCATATTTCATCTCATTCCTGATTTAAAGGAGCACTATATGGTCAGGAACACAAACATGTATTCTTGAACCTATAGGGTTAAAACCACCATCTGGCCACCCTGGCCCCTAATGCCTCCCTGAATATAGTACAATATTACTTGTATTCAAGTCTGCAGCTGCATACTTTGTCCCTGTTTCCTTTAGACCTGCCCACTGCCTGCTGACATTACCAGAAGTGGTAGCCTGATCCAATCACAATGCTTCCCCATAGGATTGGCTGAGACTGACAAGGAAGCAGATCAGGGGCAGAGCCAGCATAATTCAAACACAGCCCTGGCCAATCAGCATCTCCTTATAGAGATGAATTTAATCAATGAATCTCTATGAGGAAAGTTCAGTGTCTGCATGCAGAGGGAGGAGACACTGAATGTTTGGATGCATTTTAGGCAGCCATGACCCAAGAAGGATCTCTAACAGTCATCTGAGGAGTGGCCAGTGAAGTTATCACTAGGCTGTAATGTAAACACTGCATTTTCTCTGAAAAGATAGTGTTTACAGCAAAAAGCCTGAAAGTAATGATTCTACATAACAAATTCAATAAGCTGTAGTTGTTCTGGTGACTATAGTGTCCCTTTAAATTTACACCCACACTGTTTGGTAATTCCCAATTTACTGACTGCAGCAAAAGTGAGTATTGCCTTTCACAAGAAGAGTAAAGAAGCTATTCCTTTTGGAGGAGGGTTTGAATAGATTACACTCTACCTGTCAATACCAACAAATGGCTTTTAGAATACAAGGAAACACAGAGAAACACGAAAAAGAACAGTCTGTAGCTGTTTAGCTGAAAGACGGACTTATCTATGTTCCTGATGCATGGTTATCACCGTTGATATCCCTCTGCCACTTTAACTTTCACTGTCAGCATAAAAGGTCTGAATGCTCTCTCCACAACACTTAGCACTAAGGGTGGGATGATGTACCACACTGCTTAGCAAATTTCAGCTACTGTACACTTGATTTATGTTGTTATACTTTTTCCTGTTTTTTTTTTCCCCCCCATTTGTTTTCCTTTGTCTTATTCATGTAATACCTCATGATTCACCAAGCAATGTTACAATGCATATGACAATTAGTCTAATTGCTTTCCATAGGAGAATGCCACTCTGTTTGATGAACATACTCTCATGCTCTAATTCACATTATATGTAAATTGGTATTGGTACTGCTGAGATGTGAGATTTAAGTGCTTGTCTCCATTGGCAACCTATCATTGTACTGTGTATGCTCTTGCTGAAAGCAAATAAAAAAAAATGTATTGAAAAAATATATAATTGCGTCAATGATTTTGGAAAATCTTTGTGCTGTACGTTGCCTTTCAAGATTGTTTGTAACATAGGATTTGTTTCATATGAAATTGAAATATGAGCTGTCAGGGCAGAATATTAGCCTTTGTACTGAAATTAAGTTACAATTGTATGCCTACTGACAGTGTTTGGGTTCCAATAACCTTCTAAAATGGTTCCCTAGTGGCAAATTATCCATTATATAGAATATGGCTATAGAATAGTTGTGTGACTTTCTTATAGTAAAATCTAGTATAGAAAGTTCACACAATATCACACTGACAGTTTACAGAGCGCCGGGTGGCTGCTGGGATTGAGTGCGGCCCCTATCATCACTTTTGCTGACCGTTTACCTGACACAATTTTTATAGAATTTGTTTTCTTCTAAAAGGCATGTGTTGTTTATCTCAGTGGAAGTTAAACCCATATACTTCTCCTGGTCTGTATTGCAGCTTGTGTTGCACAGATATTTGTAGCTACGTGTCAGTCACTAGCTGTTTTTAATTAAACATTTTCAATGCAGATGAGGCACACCTAATTTAAAGCCAACCCACAGAAATTCCAGATCCAACCACAACCAGACAGAGGAGGAACTTATCCAGAATTATCGAGGTTGAAGGGAACTTGTATTATTGCTCCTCTATAACATATTCTTTCTTATTGCATATGCATTATAAGTTTCATGCATCCAGTTTCTTATCCTCTCTAACATGCAGGTTGTCATTCACAGGGTGTCTCGCAGTATGGGGAAGAGACGCTGTGTGTCGGCCGCAGAAAACAAGCCATCTTCAGGGTGCTGTGGAGTGAAGAAACCAAAGCTGTGTCCTTCACCTGCAAGCAGTGTTCCACCCTCCGTCCAACATAACTGCCAACCTCCAGAGGACAAGACGGTGGGGCCAGGCGCCCTTACCCCACTCTCCCGGCCCAACGGGACCACAAGTGGCAGGGAACAGTTGGTGGTGACAGCTGAAATGGGCTGCTACTGCTTTGATGTCCTCTACTGTCACCTGAATGGCTTCCCACAGCCACGCCTGCCACGTTTCACCAATGACCCCTAGTAAGTTTAAAAGGAACAGTCTAATCTCAGACCTAAGTATATTTTGTATTAAAGGACCACTATACAGGGAGTGCAGAATTATTAGGCAAGTTGTATTTTTGAGGATTAATTTTATTATTGAACAACAACCATGTTCTCAATGAACCCAAAAAACTCATTAATATCAAAGCTGAATATTTTTGGAAGTAGTTTTTAGTTTGTTTTTAGTTATAGCTATGTTAGGGGGATATCTGTGTGTGCAGGTGACTATTACTGTGCATAATTATTAGGCAACTTAACAAAAAACAAATATATACCCATTTCAATTATTTATTATTACCAGTGAAACCAATATAACATCTCAACATTCACAAATACCGTATTTTTCGCTCCATAAGACGCACCTCACCATAAGATGCACCTAGTTTTTAGAGGAGGAAACCCAGAAAAAAAAATATTCTGAACAAACTGTTCCATAGTGTTTCTTACCATGGGACAGTTTGTTCAGAATATTTTTTTTTCTCCCCTGTCCCATAATGATCTTTAACCCCCCTTTCCTCTGTCCCATAGTGATTGTTAACCCCTCCTACCCTGTCCCATAGTGATTGTTAACCCCTCCTACCCTGTCCCATAGTGTTCTTTAACCCCTCCTCCCCTTGTCCATTAGTGTTCTGATCCCATAGTGTCCCCCCCTCCCATTGTCCCATAGTGCACTTTCCCTCCCATAGTGTCCCCCCCTGCCCTTGTCCCATAGTGTCTCCCCCTCCCCTTGTCCCATAGTGTCTCCTCCCCTCCCCTTGTCCCATAGTGTCTCCTCCCCTCCCCTCCCCTTGTCCCATAGTGTCTCCTCCCCTCCCCTTGTCCCATAGTGTCTCCTCCCCTCCCTTTCTCCCATAGTGTCCCCCTCCCTTTCTCCCATAGTGTCTCCCCTCCCCTTGTCCCATAATTACTTACCTGTCTTGGAGCGTGGGCCGGCTTCACAGCGCGCTCCGCGGTCCAGGAACTTCTATTTCAGGTTCCGGTTTCCGGCGGGACTGAAAGGAAGTGTGCACACGCGCTCCGCGGTCCAGGAACTAATATTTCAGGTTCCGGTTTCCGGCGGGACTGAAAGGAAGTGTGCACACTCAGTGTGCACACTTCCTTTCAGTCCCGCCGGAAACCGGAACCTGAAATAGAAGTTCCTGGACGGCGGAGCGCGCTGTGAAGCCGGCCCACGCTCCAAGACAGGTAAGTAAATCTTCACATTCGCTACATAAGACGCACAGACATTTCCCCTCACTTTTGAGGGGAAAAAAAGTGCGTCTTATGGAGCGAAAAATACGGTATACATTTCTGACATTCAAAAACAAAACAAAAACAAATCAGTGACCAATATAGCCACCTTTCTTTGCAAGGACACTCAAAAGCCTGCCATCCATGGATTCTGTCAGTGTTTTGATCTGTTCACCATCAACATTGCGTGCAGCAGCAACCACAGCCTCCCAGACACTGTTCAGAGAGGTGTCCTGTTTTCCCTCCTTGTAAATCTCACATTTGATGATGGACCACAGGTTCTCAATGGGGTTCAGATCAGGTGAACAAGGAGGCTGTGGTTTTCTTCTTTTATACCCTTTCTTGCCAGCCACGCTGTGGAGTACTTGGACGCGTGTGATGGAGCATTGTCCTACATGAAAATCATGTTTTTCTTGAAGGATGCAGACTTCTTCCTGTACCACTGCTTGAAGAAGGTGTCTTCCAGGAACTGGCAGTAGGACTGGGAGTTGAGCTTGACTCCATCCTCAACCCGAAAAGGCCCCACAAGCTCATCTTTGATGATACCAACCCAAACCAGTACTCCACCTCCACCTTGCTGGCGTCTGAGTCGGACTGGAGCTCTCTGCCCTTTACCAATCCAGCCACGGGCCCATCCATCTGGCCCATCAAGACTCACTCTCATTTCATCAGTCCATAAAACCTTAGAAAAATCAGTCTTGAGATATTTCTTGGCCCAGTCTTGACGTTTCAGCTTGTGTGTCTTGTTCAGTGGTGGTCGTCTTTCAGCCTTTCTTACCTTGGCCATGTCTCTGAGTATTGCACACCTTGTGCTTTTGGGCACTCCAGTGATGTTGCAGCTCTGAAATATGGCCAAACTGGTGGCAAGTGGCATCGTGGCAGCTGCACGCTTGACTTTTCTCAGTTCATGGGCAGTTATTTTGCGCCTTGGTTTTTCCACACGCTTCTGTTGACTGTTTTGAATGAAACGCTGTTTTGAATGAAACGCTTGATTGTTCGATGATCACGCTTCAGAAGCTTTGCAATTTTAAGAGTGCTGCATCCCTCTGCAAGATATCTCACTATTTTTGACTTTTCTGAGCCTGTCAAGTCCTTCTTTTGACCCATTTTGCCAAAGGAAAGGAAGTTGCCTAATAATTATGCACACCTGATATAGGGTGTTGATGTCATTAGACCACACCCCTTCTCATTACAGAGATGCACATCACCTAATATGCTTAATTGGTAGTAGGCTTTCGAGCCTATACAGCTTGGAGTAAGACAACATGCATAAAGAGGATGATGTGGTCAAAATACTCATTTGCCTAATAATTCTGCACTCCCTGTAGGCACCCTGACCACTTCAGCTCAATGAAGTGGTCTGGGTGCCAGGTTCCCCTAGTTTTAACCCTGCAGCTGAAAACTTAGCAGTTTCAGAGAAACAGTCTCCTTGACAGCCACTAGAGGCCGCTTCTGCGATTCTCAGTGTGAAAATCGCATTGAACTCATGCTGGACGTCCATAGGAAAGCATTGAGCAATGGTTTCCTATGGGCGAGTTGAATGTGCGCGTGTGCCTCTGGCCGCGCATGCGCATTCAGCTCCACTCAAGAGCTGATATCGGCAAGGGGAGGAGAGGGCACCAGCGCTTCCCCTGCCGATGTCCGCTCTCAAGTGGAACTGAATGCGCATGCACGGCCAGAGGCAAATGCGCGCATTCAATCCCTTAGGAAAGCATTACTCAATTTTAACGCTTCAGCCCAGCGGGAGGGTTGGCTCCGAGGGTGGGAGGGACCTAATAACCCTATAGTGCCAGGAAAACAAGTTTGTTTTCCTGGCACTATAGTGTTCCTTTAAGTGCTCTGTGTTCTGTTTTTAGTTCATATTTAGGGTTCTTTTATGAGTGCTTAGAATTTGAAGCCTTAGCTAGGCTGGAGGATCCATGCTTGCAATGGCTACATTTTTACTTGCTAATGGCAAGAGAAGATTTGAAAAAAAAAAAAAAGACATTAAACGAACTTGTAATCCAGCACCGGTACAGTAACCCTCTGCTGCCCAATTTGTCTTCTGAGAGATCATCAAACATGAGCTCTGTCTAATCTGGTGCTTCTAATAGAGAAGCATTGAGGATGTCTGGCATACGTGCGGCAAGCTGCTTTCTGCATCCTCATACAGTGCATGCTGATGCTGAACCTATAGACCTTCAATAATTAAAGGATCTGATGGAGGACGTGGCTCTAGTGATGTCTGACACCCACTAGAGGCATGATTTCAGCTTTATATAAACAATGGTGTTTCTCGGAAAAAGAAATGTTTATACCTTTAGACCAAACTGAATAATCTATGCACGAGAACCAATACATTAACAGGGTTATTTACTAAAGAATTTAACATTTTTCCCAAGTAGCTTAAAGCATAGCTGTGTTAGAGAATTTTTCCAACTGGCATATTTTGGCCTTTAACCCCTTAAGGACCAAACTTCTGGAATAAAAGGGAATCATGACATGTCACACATGTCATGGGTCCTTAAGGGGTTAAAGGGACACTATATTGTTAGGAGTACATAGCTGTATTCTTCACACTAAAGTGCTTCTCTGCCCCCACCCATGTAGCACTGAAAGGGTTAATTAACCTTTTCTTTCACTCAGAAGTCCCTCCTCCGACGTCCGCGCAGAGGGGAAACCTAATGTGTGGTGAGCATTGTTCTTTACTTCATTTCTGATCTGTGGAACCATGGTTTCCAAATAGTAGAATTCCAAATAGGTCAAATTATAACTTCTATTATTAAACAACCACCCCACACACATAAAGCACTTTAGCTTCTATGAGAAAATTGTAATTTTATAAATAGTTCATAAAACACCCACTGGCTGTCTAACAACCAAGGAGGTTACTTCCTGCTTTTATTAGCAGGCGCATGCATGGAGGGGGAGCTTTAGAGATTTCTCAGTGAGAAGCCTCTGGTGGGCTATTTTCCTGTGAAGACATTGTATAAGTCTTCTGGGGGAAAATGGGGTGGCTTACAAAGGCTTCATAATAAGTGCAGCTTTTGCAAGCTCTTTTAAGATATAAAAATATGAATATGTGAAGCAAAAATGTTTGCATTCATTCCCTGGAGTTATCTACTAAATGGTTATTTCTACTTTATTTTCTAACATATACATACATCACTGCATTTATATTCTTTTAGTGGCAGAGTCAAGCAGAACTACATCTGCAGGTTGTTTATAATTTACAGCTCATTATCTTATGTATTGCCATTTATTTATGTTTATTACATTAACACTCCTTGCACCATATCCAATATTGCTTGTTGTAGTTGTTATGGTGCAAGTAGTATTCTGGGGCCTTGCCCCTGTTTTTGTAAAAAACAAACACATTTTTAAGCAGATAGACAAAGATAATGGCTCGCTCGGAACCCAAAGCTGATCCAACCATTCCCATTTTGATAATGGGGAAGTTTCACTTTACATTATCCATACATATCTATCAAACATTGAAAGCCCATCAATGTGCAGTAATCCTGTAATGATAACCCTTTAAAGTAAAACATTGTCACTTTGTAAACCCTGCAATGCCTACACTAAAAGGTTAAGCACACTTTTATTGGCGCTGTCTTCCTGACAGCCACTAGAGGTGCTTTTGCCTCCATAACCGAGTAAACTTCGCTTTTCAATCAAATGTTGCCGATAGCAGCATTTGATTGGAGGAGTGCGTTTTGAAGCACGTGCTTTATCGGGGAGCAGGACAAACAGAATCTTGTTACTGACATGCATACGATTGTCTGTAGTTTTATGTTTATTCCTAATATCCTTCTGTGTTTTGCTTCAGTCCTCTGTTTGTCACATGGAAGGCTGGACGTGACAAACGTCTCCGTGGCTGTATTGGGACATTCTCCGCAATGAATCTCCATTCAGGACTCAGGGAATACACCTTAACCAGGTACTGATGGCGCAGAATTAATGAGTACGCATTGTCACAGTAAGCACAGGTAGCAAATGTACAAGCCATCCTTTGTAAGTGTGTACAGATACTATTCCCAGGTATAGACCATTGTAAACACTTTGCATGATTTCCATTATACGGAGAAAGCCGACAAATTCACTGTATGCCTATCTACATGTATTTTTCCAAATTAACTAATGGATATGATATTAGTATACACATCTACTACCGATCAGGATATATTGCATACTTGCACATTCCAGATATATTAAGAATAGACACATATGGGATTTACAGTGAATTCTTGCAAAATGGCATGGTAAGTGCATAATTAAGGACAACTTAAGTTAGACTAATAAATGAACTTGAAAATCTTCAAGGTCAGCCAGTGTGGTGTCAATTCTGAAATTCAATTTTTCAGTTCATCACCGTTCACTGTTCAATAAATAAATGCTACAGTGTTTTAAGCCTGCATTCACCTTCACCTATAGGTCAGTAATGGCAAGATTGGGCACTCCGGATATTGTGGATTTCTGTGGTTTACTATCAATGACATACTGTTTTGTGTATTTCCAAAAACATTTTTTATCAGATGTAGATGAATGTAAACTTTGTCGCAGGAGTGCTAAACATAGAGTGAATATCTGTTTATTTTTACATACGCTGGGTTATTCACTGGCGTTAGAGTTCAAAGTAAATTTAAAGTTTAAAGTCACATTCGCTAAACCGGGAACCTTCTCCTGTTTGGCTACCTTAAATTTAAATTTGAATTCTCATTTTGGTTAATAACCCTGTCAGAATTCTTCACATAGATAATTAAAATGCAGAAAGAACACCATTAATTGATCATGTGAAAGTGTAGTCATTACATTAAAGGAACACTATAGTGCCAGGAAAACATACTTGTTTTCCTGGCACTATAGTGTCCTGAGGGTGCACCCACCCTCAGGGGCCCCCTCCCGCCAGGCTCTGGGGAGAGGAAAGGGTTAAATCTTTTTTTCCAGCGCCAGACGGGGAGCTCCTCTCCGCCTCCGATCCTCCTCTTCGGCTGAATGCGCATGCGCGGCAGGAGCTGCGCGTGCATTCAGCCTGTCTCATAGGAAAGCATTCATAATGCTTTCCTATGGACGCTGGCGTCTTCTCACTGATTTTCACAGTGAGAAGCACGCAAACGCCTCTAGCGGCTTTCAGTGAGACAGCCACTAGAGGCTTAAGAGGCTGGATTAACCCATTTATAAACATAGCAGTTTCTCTAAAAAAAAAAAAAAGGGGTTAATCCGAGAGGGACCTGGCACCCAGACCACTTCATATTAAGCTGAAGTGGTCTGGGTGCCTAGAGTGGTCCTTTAATATTTGCACATATTTGTTCAAGAGAAATGTAACACACAGTGTGCATATATAAACACACATCCTTGACTGATCATTTACAACCTATTCCTGAAAGCACTCCTGCTTACAAGATTTCTAAACTTTCATCGGATTAGAATTTATGCATGTTCTAATAATGTGACACATTGCTTTCAGTTACAATACAAATGTCGCGTGGAAGATTTGATCTTGGCAGCATTATCTGAGTTTGTTTTCAGTGCACTCATCATTTCACGTTTGCTAATAATTACAATTTCTAATTTTTGTGTAGGACTATTTTTAGCTTGATTTACAGGCACCAGAAGTAGAAAAAATGCCCCAAATCCAAGTTGCCAGTAAATTTTCTTAGAATTTCAGTCATAGGATGCCTCAACAAAGTGCAAATTTCTAGAAATTAACCTGAATTGTCTGTGAGACTTCAGTTTGTCTCTTAACCCCTTTTTGTACCAGCAAAATATGTACATTACCATTACCTGTTACTTAGCTATCCTAGCTAATGATGTGTGCTTCTCACATAACATCCATGACATTGCAAGCATAATATATCGCTGTATCAATAACATGCAGAATCCGATTTTATTGCATGAGCAATTCTATGTTGTGGAGGTTGTGCAAAATGTCAGAGGAACAGAAATGTTGTTTGTTTTTTTTCCCACAGGTAAACTATTGAGCACAAAATGCTAGACATGATTTATTATATCCTTTACCGCTTCAATACCAATTGAAAAAATATTAGCATACAATTTATTTGAGGCAAGGGATGCACAGCTAGCTTATAAACATATCATAACATGGGATTATTGTGTATAGATTGCATTGTATATTTACCCAACTTTTATTTTTTTTACTTATTTGTTTATCTTTTTTTTGTCAAACTCTGTTTTATTGAGGCAAAAGATAATTCAGTGCAGAATATAAAGCAGGGAGTTTTAGCATATGAGTCACATGATACACATGATATAATGTAGATAACATCGGTGCCTAAATCGTTCATCTTTTATAAAAATAAAAAAAAATATTGTGGTGTTCTAAATTACTGTGGACCATTTCACACAGGGTCTGAAATGTTAGTATGAAAGCAAAAATGCTTTTTTTTCTTTAATACAGTATAAGTGACAAAAATAGATACATAAAAATGGTCAAATTCCTTACTTATAGGTATTTGCAAGGACCTATAAGCTAATACTAGCAGTACAGCTTTCTAAAAATGGCAACCGAATGTAAAAATGTCTGCATCTGAAACATAATACCCACATGAAGGGGAGAATTAAAAAGTTATTTAAAATGGCTATAGCAATAGTTATCAATCTCTGGACTGCTAATGTCTTCAGTGAAATGGTAGAGCCATTCACTCCTCACCCCTCCCTGACAATAGGAATGATATGACTCATTGAAACTATTTGATACTGTTTGAAAGCAGGGGATTGTCTACTATTTTCAGCAATTTTACAGGCATCATCATTGACTAATGGCTTCTGGCAAATAAATTAATTCCTCTACAAGCTGGTAATCATTTTTAACGTATAAATGAGGGAGAGTGAGACTTTGTGGACTAGATTTCATACTGCAAATTACATGACATTAAAAACATTTATGCTCAATTTGGATATTGGATAGGGTTAGCTGATTGAGCCCAAGTCTACTATGCAAAAATACATTGATTTAACCCCTTAAGGACCAAACTTCTGGAATAATGTCATGTCATGTGTCCTTAAGGGGTTAAAGGAAACGGTCACTTCCCATTAATTTTTAATATTGTATTTACTTTTCTTCAATATTGAACAAACGTGTATTTGTGAGGTATGAAAAATGTTTTAATGTAGAACTGTACTCTGCAACTGGGTGCTTACATTTTGGCTCCCTGACCGTCATCATTAGACTTGTGCATGGTAGAAAAATTAGATTAACTTGAAATAAAAATAAATTGTTTTGGATGGATAATTATTTGAGCCTGTGACGTTGCGGTTTGTTCAGATGAAATTCATCCACACAGCAATTTGGATTAACAAAAAATGGTGTGAAAGTGCTCCTATTAGTGTACTTCAAAATGTATACATAATATAAATATTTAAAATTAATTATATATTTAAAGTTTTTTTTTCGCCTTCCAATATGTGAAAATAAGTGATCCATAGAGGGGAGGAAAGGAGCAGTAAAATAGCATAAGTTGTATATGTGATCTATCTATATATCTGTCATTATTAAGTATATAAATTATTTCGTTTTTGTTTTGTTTTTTTAAACAGCTTTTCCTTTCCTCACCTCTATTGGTCAATTGTCATTTGATCTGTGACTTAAATTGACATTTAGAGGCTGTACCCGTCCCTAACCATCAAACAATGTTTTATGTTTCCCAAACATCATAGCTGGTTCATTCCTCATATTTATGATTTATAAATATACCTTTTCAGAGTTATGGAATTCAGACACATTTTTGATTGCCCAAAGTTCAGACAAATCGCAATTTGTTTGAAACCGAATGCACTAGTCTTGTCGTCATTATAAGTTTTATCCTTGCATCTGACAGTCAGTATAGAGAAAGCATGCAGAAAAAGAGTAAATAAAGCAATGTTTCTATTTATTTTTCCTCATATGCAATATGTTGCCTGTTTGAACCTTGACTGAACTGGACTGCGATGTAATTTGCTAAATCTTTCATTAAAAGAGAAAATGGAACATCACATGAAAAAGGTTAACAAGAAAGTTATGTGATTTTCTGTGTTTTAATTATTTTGATATTCTGTGCAATAAATATTCCCGCAGTTCATTTGCATTATATTTGCATATCCAAACCTTTTCCCAGCATTGACAGCTCATGTCCAGTATATCTTCTCAAATCTTAGTCAGTACTAATAGTTTGCACACAGTCAATGTAAACAAATGTTCTATTATTGCGTGTTGACGACAGATGCCAAAGCTACACAGAATTCACATTAGCCAGCCCAGAACTCTCTTTCTGGGCTGATTAATGACGCTGCCTAGATGTATTTAGACCTCCGGAAACAAAGACCTGTGTGTGCCACATTTCAAACTCTGCACATACAGACTCCAAGCACCATGGCAGAACCTCTTTAATGAATGTCTGAGCATTAATGCCATATTATGACATTTTTGTATAGATTCTGGAGTCGCCCTTGTTGTGTAAGTGCATTTTTTTATTTACATCCACTACTTTATTGACCCTTTCTAAACACTGCAATCATGTTTAGTGGGGTACTGTTACAGCCAGAGACAAATATTTTTGTCACATGCAGTGAACATCGTTCCACAATCTTTATCCCAATATTGATATATCACATACTGTAACCATCTGCAATGCGTAACCCTAACTCACTTTTGCAAACATTGATAGCTCACCGATATAGAGAACACTCCCCGTAATGTATAGTTGAACCCTGGTTGCATTGACAGAAACACATAGTGGATATCTTAATCTCTTGAAATTACTGTATAGATTATACATTGTGCACATTTTAAGTGCATGTACACATATTACATGATGAGATAAAATAGCATATGTCTAGATAACAGCATATGAACTGCACACACAAATCTAGATGAAATATACTGAATATCTTCAATTCTAGACAAATCTCTGCATCCAGGTAACCATGGCTCCTTAAATGTCACTGTTGGCACCTAACTCTTTGTTGTTGTTTTTTTATTTCTTAACATATTTTAATAGATATCTATGGTTGGTTCTAAATGAAATTAGACTGTCTCTTAAAATTGTGTTTCTGGTTCCAAAACATTGTGTAAATTTGTGCAACCCTATACATTGTGAATGGTCTGTAATAAGTATATAGAGTGAGCTGTCATGAAATATCTACAAAGATAGCATATGTATAAATAATGAACCTGTTAGCTGTCACCCTGCAGTGCCCTTAAGGACAGCCGCTTCCCTCCGCTCACCCGTGAGGAGCTGCCCAAGCTGTCTTGCTCTGTCTCTCTGCTCACTAACTTTGAGGACGTGGGTGACTTCCTAGACTGGGAGGTGAGCAGTTGCATGTGACTTAAATATTTTAAAGTCTTGCAGAGCCGTCTACTGGCTAGCTTGTCACAAGCTGCTATTTTCATGCCTGCCATTTGAAGAACTATTTTGTGGAGAAATCTGAGCTGTTGAATGAATAAGGAGGAATCTGCATAATTTATTTTGATATAACATATCATTAGTTGAGAAGTATTTCTGTTTAGAACATTTGTGCCCGCTATGTGGCATGTATTGCTCATTAAAAATAGGTCAGTTATAGTGAAAAGGTTTTCTTTTGTTTTTTTAGAGTAGAAAACATTTAAAAAAAATAAAATCTGAATATGACTGAAATGTTTTTAAAAATGTAACTTTTTTAAAGAGTAATGTATTGTATTCTACTAATCTCCTTTTGCAGGTTGGAGTCCATGGGATCAGAATTGAGTTTCTTAACGAGAAAGGGGTGAAACGCACAGCGACCTACCTGCCAGAAGTAGCCAAGGAGCAAGGTGTGTTTCTGATATATGTCCATACTTGCTACTGTGAGCTGTCTCCTTCTCTGGCCAGTACTGATAATATGCGGCTGAATAAAAAGCAGAATATAAGCTGCCATCAGAAAGTGGACAGCAATATATTCATATATAATCTGTTCCAATACTAATTAGACTCTGCAATTTTCTGGATAACGTTCATGCATGTTATAATTTTTGGTAAAATTAAATTACCTGGATTAATATACATACTCAGATAAATTCAGTCTTTGGAAGAAGTCCCCAGTTCATTAACATCCAAGATTTGAATCTCACTATCCCTGCCCCATTATTATTACTGCCATTTATATAGATTCCGTAGCGCTTTACAATATTATGAGAGGGGGGATTTAACTATAAATAGGACAATTACAAGAAAACTTACAGGAGCAATAGGTTGAAGAGGACCCTGCTCAAACAAGCTTACAGTCTATAGGAGGTGGGGTATAAAACACAATAAGACAGGAAAAAGACATCACAATAAGTTGGAGTGAAGCAGAGCTGGAGGAGAGAGTAGAGTGCTGCCCTTTAGGAGAGAGCAAGAGGCAGGTATGTGAGGTAGAGGTTACTCTGTGAGGCCATAAGCTTTAATAAAGAGATGAGTTTTAAGACACTTCTTAAACGATTGAAGACTAGGGGGAGTCTGATGGGGGTAGGCAGGCTATTCCAGAAGAAGGGAGCCGACCGCGAGAAGTCCTGCAAGTGTGAGTTGGCCGTACGGTGCGAGCAGCGGTCAAGAGGGTAGAGCGGAGGGAACGAGGAGTGGCATACCTATGGATCTGTGAAGAAATATAAGAAGGGCTAGAACTGTTCAGTACTTTTATATGTATGGGTTAGCAATTTGAATTGACTCCTATAGGATACAGGAAGCCAATGTAAAGACTGACAGAGGGGTGAGATGTGAGAGGACGGACTAGAGAGGAAAATCAGTCTGGCGGCGGCATTCATTACAGACTGTAACGTGGCAATACGGCTTTTGGGAAGAACAATCAGAAGAGGGTTACAATAATCCATGCGGGAAATTACTGGAGCATGGACAAGCTCCTTGGCAGCATTTTTTGTAAGGAAGGGGCGGATGCAGGCTATTTTTTTAAGTTGGAATCTACAGGATTTGGCAACAAACTGGATGTGAGGCTCAAAGGTGAGGCCAGAGTCAAGTATGACGACAAGACAGCGTGCTTGCAAGGATGGACTTATGTGGATACCACTGACTTGAAGGGAGAGCGAGAGAGGAGGATCAGTATTAGGAGGAGGAAAGACAAGAAGTTCAGTTTTAGAGAGATTGAGTTTCAGAAAGCGGAAGGACATCCGGTCAGGGATGAAAGAAAGCAGTGACACGTTGCAGGAGGGCAGGGGAGAGGTCTGGGGAGGAGTGATATATTTGGGTGTCATCAGCGTACAGGTGGTAGTGGAATCCAAAAGAGTCAATACGTTTTCCAAGAGAAGCAGTATAAAGAGAAAATAGAAGAGGACCAAGGACATAGCCTTGGGGAACTCCAACCGAGACAGGATGAAGGGAGGAGGTATCCTTGGAAAAGGAGACACTGAAAGAGCGTTGGGAGAGATAAGAGGAAAACCATGAGAGGACAGAGTCACAGAGACCGAGTGATTGAAGAGCTTGAAGGAGGAGAGCATGATCAACTGTGTCAAAGGCAGCAGAGAGGTCTAGAAGAATTAATATGGAGTAGTGGCCTTTGGATTTAGCTGCGATTAGGTCATTAGTAACTAAGAGTGGAGAGGGTGGAAGCCAGACTGAAGAGGGTCATGGAGAGAGTTGGAATTGAGGAAGCGAGACACACGGGTAAAGACAAGTCTTTCCAGAAGCTTTGAGGAAAAAGTGAGCAGGGATATGGGACGATAGTTAGATGGGGAGGATGGGTCAAGAGATATTTTTTTCAGCATAGGTACTACAGTGGCCCCATGAATCTCTGCTCTAAAGTAGCTCAATGAGCCTTGGCACTGGAAAAAGCTAAGTAAATCATTTGTTTTATTAATTTTTATGTAAAAAATGGATGGAGCCTTAATACAACTAGGCACATGAGTTTTGTATTCCTAAGGCTATAGTGTTCCTTGAAGGTAATAAAAAAATATGTTTATTATATACACTTTCGCTGTTAGCCCAACATACTGAGGCTTTAGGAAGTTTTTCAGCACTATGTCATGCAACCTTACCAGGCCTTGGCCTCATCTCAAAGAGAGATACATGCTACTAACTCAGAATTTTGGGAAGCTCTACCGATCATCTCAGTGCGTTACCTATTGCAATTTCTGGGGCCTCTCAGACATAACTCAACATAGTAAGAGTACAAAACAACCAAAGAAATTTGGGCTACGGCTGTAAATCTAGAACAAACAAAAAACATACATAGAGTAATACAGTTTAAAGAAACAAATTGTGTTAATGAAATGCACTCACAAGATTACGTGAAAATAGCGCTCTAGGGTGCCTCCCCTGATAGCAGTGTTTCACCGATGGACACACAATGCAAGACTCCAGTGATGGTAAAAAACAGCAGCTTTATTTGTAGGATGAGAACTTCACCCAGTAATAATAAAATGTAAAATATAAAATGCCAATAAGGTCCTACGCGTTTCATTCACTAGATGTGAACTTCCTCAGGGACCATAATATAAAAACAATTGATACAAAGCAATAACAAAAATGAAAAGCAGCCTAATCTCCCCCCATACCAGAATTTTGGGAACCTCTACCGATCATCTCAATATTGCGTTACCTATTGCAATTCCTGGGGCCTCTCAGACATAACTCAACATAGTATATTTGTCTTCAGTGACGTAGTATCATTTTACAATGTGTACCTAAAAGTTTTACTTTACTTATTTGTTTCACCAATGTTCTATGTACTCTGTTATCTGTTATGCTGGTCGAGATATAGTACCCATGTATCCAATACGCAACAACTTCAAACATTCTTGGGAGATGTAAATTTCTCTCTGACCACACATTGTTATTTTCTTATTCTTTTGTACTCCTCTGTTACTAGTATTCAAAGCTTATCTTGATCGTACACAGTGCTTTTATAAAAACCCTGATAAATAAAGAATTAAAAAAAAAAAAAAAAAGATGTATTCTAGAATGGAAAATGCAAAGCAAACATCATTCATTTACTCTGTACTAATTGAAGTGTGTTTTCCCCTCAGACTGGGATCAGATACAGACCATAGACTCTCTGCTCAGGAAAGGTGGCTTTAAGGCTCCCATTACCAACGAATTTAGGAAAAGCATCAAACTCACACGGTGAGTTTAACTCATTTTCCTTTACACCTTGTCTGAATTTTTTTTTAACTAAAAATTGCTATTCTTCTAAACAGTCTGATATATTTCTATCAGAAAGCAGCACTTTTACCATGGGGGGGAGATGTCCATGGCCAACATAATACTTCTGCATAAATCAGGCAGGGACCCCTTGTCACCAGACAACTACAGGCCTATCTCTCTGATCAACCAAGACATCAAAATCCAAAGCAAAAATCTTAGCGGATCATCTCAACCCTCACTTGAAGAAGTTGATACACCCAGACCAGGTAGGATTTATAACAGATAGACAACTTTTTGAAAACACCAGACGGAGCATCGACCTTATCTGGAGACAGAAAACCAGAAGCACACTGACTCTATTGGTCTCCATTGATGCAGAGAAGGCCTTTGATAGGGTAGAATGGCCCTATCTATTTAGCATCCTAGACTACCTTGGCTTCCCAGAAAGATACATAGCATCAATCAAAGCAATGTACAGCCAAGCCTCTGCCCAAGTCAAAATAGCAGGAATGGGATCCAAACCCTTTAGACTAGGGAACGGAACGCGACAGGGATGCCCCCTGCCCCCTCTCCTTTTCGTGCTTACGCTTCAACCCCTTCTACAAGCATTACGCCAAAATCCACGTATTAAGGAGATAAAGATAGGCGGCCAAGAGTTCCTAGTCTCTGCGAATGCAGATGATGTTCTCTTGACCCTTACGGAACCTCGAGAGTCCATGGCGGCACTACAAGAAACCCTGTTGCTATTCGGGCTTTTTCTAGTTACAAGGCCAATTTAGATAAGTCCAGCGCCCTCCCGATGGGCATGTCAGTGGAGGACATGGCGGCATTGAGGGCTACATATAACATACCCATAGCACAAGAATACCTGAAGTACCTAGGGATACAGTTATCAGGGGACCCAAACAAGTTATACCATCTAAATTACACCCCGCTTATACGAACCCTAATACAAGATTTGGAAAAATGGCAGGACAAACCCATAACATGGATCGGACGCATACATACTGTTAAAATGAATATCGTCCCCCGGATATTATTTCTTTTTCAAGCACTACCAGTAAAAATTCTCAAAACTGATTTAGCTCACTTACAAAGAGCCATAGGGAACTTCATATGGCAAAATCGTCGCCATAGAATCGCCAGGAATATACCTGTATAGGCATAAACAGAGGGGAGGTCTGGGCCTGCCAAACTTATATTATTATTACTTGGCGGCTCAGTTAGCGCAGGTGGCTATGTGGCATGCACCGTTAGATGAGAGAAGGTGGGTGGACCCTGGAGTCTCTAATGACGGGGATGGACCTCCCACAGTTCCATCTCTGGGTTCCCAGGGAAGATAGACCCATCATGAAAACAATGTGCCCTGCTATACTGAACTCACTACGAATTTGGGATGTATCCGCACTCAAATACAAACTGGCCTCTTCCCCATCCCCACTGACCCTCTTATTGAGAAACAGGGCATTCCCCCTGGGTATGGCAGCCAAAGACTTCACAAACATAGAAAGGGTGGGAATACAAAGGATTTGACAAACGTTCGATAATGGGCAACTAGTCTCCTTTGACCACCTAAAACAAATAGCGCATCTAACTCCTGCATACTTTTTCAGGTACCTGCAAATTAGGGACTATGTACAACAACCTCAGGTAATGCAGGCTGCCAAGAGACCACAGACTTTCTTTGAGAGAATGTGCCTTAAAGAAACGGCACAAAGAGGCTTAATAACTAACCTATATACACATAGAAGTTCAGAAACTAAGGAATGGGGTACGCTGGCCTACACAGAAGCCTGGGAAAAAATCTAGGGGAAGTACTAGAGGGAGGAGAGTGGAGAGAAATTTGGGAAGCAAACACATCACTATCTATATGCGTAACCTTCCAAGAACAGGCGTATAAAACAATGTTTAGGTGGTACACCACACCCGTACAACTTTATCATATGAAACAAACACCTTCGGACACCTGTTGAGAGGGTGCGGTCTCAAGGGTACTTTTATTCATATGTGGTGGGAATGTTCCGAAGCACAATTCTTTTGGGTTCAAATACATAACCTGATAAAAAGAATCTTTCATAGGGCGCCACAACTAAATCCTTAGACCATGGGTCGTCAACCTGGTCCCTACCGCCCACTAGTGGGCGTTTTAGGATTCCAGGTGGGCGGTAGGGATTTCTGAGGCTAAATCCTCTTTTTAAGAGGATTTCTCCTTTTGGGCGGGCGCGAGCGGCTCTGCATGCGCAAGTCTTCAGTGACCGGCAGGAGGAAGCGCTCCCTCCTGCCAGGCCACCTTCTGGACCCCCGGCATGGCAGCGTTCTAATCAGTCGCGGCGAGGGAGCTCTAACCTCTCTGCTCTGCTCCCTCGCGCGATGTTTGCTGATGCCGCGGGAGCCGGAATATGATGTCATATTCCGGCTCCCGGCATCCGTAGACAGTCCGCGAGGGAGCAGAGCAGAGAGGTTAGAGCTCCCTCGCTGCGTCTGATTAGCCGCCCGCCTAAGTGAAGCCCCACTGGACCCCAGGGACAGATCCACACCAGCTCTCCAGGTAGGGAGGCTGGGTGGATATTTAATATTAATAATTTGTGTGTATATGTGTTTGTCTCTAAGTGTATGTGTGTGTGTGTCTGTAAGTGTATGTGTGTGTGTGTCTGTAAGTGTATGTGTGTGTGTCTGTAAGTGTATGTGTGTGTGTCTGTAAGTGTATGTGTGTGTGTGTGTGTGTCTGTGTCTGTGTCTGTAAGTGTATGTGTGTGTGTCTGTAAGTGTATGTGTGTGTGTCAGTAAGTGTGTGTGTGTCTGTGGGTCTGTCTGTGTATGTGTGAGTGTCTGTAAGTGCATGTGTGAGTATGTGTATATTTGTGTGTATGTGTTTCAATGTGAGTGTGTGTGTGTATGTGTTTGTCTGTGAGCAGAGTACTTGTAGAATAGAAGAAAGAAGGTGCAGAGTACTTGTAGAATAGAAGAAAGAAGGTGCAGAGTACTTGTAGAATAGGAGAAAGAAGGAGTAGAGTACTTCTAGTATAGGGGAAAGAAGGAGTAGAGTACTTCTAGTATAGGGGAAAGAAGGAGTAGAGTACTTCTAGTATAGAGGAAAGAAGGAGTAGAGTACTTGTAAAAAAGGAGAAGGAAAGAAAAGGAAAAGGAGAGAATTGTTGTTGACTAATAATAGTAAGTGGGCTACCTAGCTCAGCCTTCCTACTGGGCATTGCTATAAGGAAGGTTAAAAAATAGAAAAAAAGGGGAAAAAGGTGGGAAGGGGAATTGAGGAGGGAGAGGAGGGGAGCTGACGCACAGATGAGAAATCATTTTATGAGCAAACAAAGAAGTCTTCCGATTATCACTGAAAGAGGAGACCTTCGCTTGTTCCTTATGAAAATCGAACCAGATATCAAATATTTAGTCTCGCAGCATCAACCTCAAGGATCTCATTAATCACTAGTAAAGGTAAGCTCAATTTACTTTATTGCTTCCTCATTAAACTTTATAAAGTTAAAAACATTATAAACATGCATAAAGTAGAAATAAAAAGATAAATGTACGTTCATTTATGTATTTTTTAAAACACCCTCCTTTCTAAAAAATATTCCGCGCTTGCGCGAAAACTGGTGGGCGGTAAGGAAATTTTTCCATCAAGAAAGATGCATTAGTGGGCAGTAAGTGGAAAAAGGTTGACTACCACTGCCTTAGACATATCTACTTAACAGATCTCTAGACGACTGGACAAGGAGGGAACAGAAATTAATCCATAAGATTACATAAACCGCTAAAAGAACAATATCACAGACATGGCTCCAAACCACACTACCACCAATTCAGAGGGTCATTTCTAATATAAAAGAGGTATACCTAATAGACCGCCTGACTGAGAGGGACCATGACTAACTTTGATAAATTATGGGGCCCCTGGCAGAACAGCGAACTGGCGGACTGAGGAGTGTCTTAGACCCCTTGAGACAAGAGAAGGGACCATACGAGACCAAGGAAAGCAAGCAACATCCTCTAGAGGACCCTACACATGGCGTAACGGAAAGGCCCGACGCATAACCCCTGCCTTCTTACTCCCTCACCTCTCCTCTTCTCTTCCTTTTTTTTCATCTTCTTTCTCTCTTTCTCTTTTTTCTACGACAACACATGACGGATCAGGCTATTTAACAGTGTACACCAATTTCCAATGTAGAGCGAGCTAAATGGAATCCGCCAAAAAGCGAAACTACCAACGGATGTCAGAAACTGTCCCCGTATACGGGGAGGCAAATTATAAGGAACACATAGGGTTAACGGAATCCCACTTTAAAAGACACCCGTATTGCATTAATGAATGTGTGCTAAATAGGTTGGGCAGGATACTTATTTAAGAAGTATATTAAGGTTATTTGATGTTATGTTATTTTTCTTTAAAAAAAAAAAAATAGAAAAATCCCTTGACAAGTAGCCAAACGAGCCTATCGCTACGAAGATTGTTGGACTTGCTCCGTAGTGACACCTGTATAAATATGTACAATTATAATGTGGGCCAACGGGCTTCTGCGCAAGCCTAATCGCTTATGTTGTTCATGCTACTTTTGTCAAGATGAAAAAATAAAGTATAAAAAAAAAAAAAGCGGCACTTTTATAAATCCGTTAAGTAACACCTCCCTAGCTGTCTAACAGCCAGGGATGTTTTCTACTGCATTACGATAGCTCCCCTGAGCTAATGAATGTAGCAGGCGTGCACTGTTAGAGCTTACCTGAGTCATAGTAAGCCTGTGGGTGCATTTGCCTCTGCACTTGTGACCACAGAGAAGACTCTGACTGGCCACTTTCCCACCACAGACTAAAACTCTGTGCTGGGAAAAAGGGGAGGGCTTGTAAATGATCCAGGCATAAGAACTGCAGCTTTTCAAACATCAAGGAGGCCTAAGTCTCCCATACATACAGGGAGTGCAGAATTATTAGGCAAATGAGTATTTTGACCACATCATCCTCTTTATGCATGTTGTCTTACTCCAAGCTGTATAGGCTCGAAAGCCTACTACCAATTAAGCATATTAGATGATGTGCATCTCTGTAATGAGAAGAGGTGTGGTCTAATGACATCAACACCCTATATCAGGTGTGCATAATTATTAGGCAACTTCCTTTCCTTTGGCAAAATGGGTCAAAAGAAGGACTTGACAGGCTCAGAAAAGTCAAAAATAGTGAGATATCTTGCAGAGGGATGCAGCACTCTTAAAATTGCAAAGCTTCTGAAGCGTGATCATCGAACAATCAAGCGTTTCATTCAAAATAGTCAACAGGGTCGCAAGAAGCGTGTGGAAAAACCAAGGCGCAAAATAACTGCCCATGAACTGAGAAAAGTCAAGCGTGCAGCTGCCACGATGCCACTTGCCACCAGTTTGGCCATATTTCAGAGCTGCAACATCACTGGAGTGCCCAAAAGCACAAGCTGTGCAATACTCAGAGACATGGCCAAGGTAAGAAAGGCTGAAAGACGACCACCACTGAACAAGATACACAATATCTCAAGACTGATTTTTCTAAGGTTTTATGGACTGATGAAATGAGAGTGAATCTTGATGGGCCAGATGGATGGGCCCGTGGCTGGATTGGTAAAGGGCAGAGAGCTCCAGTCCGACTCAGACGCCAGCAAGGTGGAGGTGGAGTACTGGTTTGGGCTGGTATCATCAAAGATGAGCTTGTGGGGCCTTTTCGGGTTGAGGATGGAGTCAAGCTCAACTCCCAGTCCTACTGCCAGTTCCTGGAAGACACCTTCTTCAAGCAGTGGTACAGGAAGAAGTCTGCATCCTTCAAGAAAAACATGATTTTCATGCAGGACAATGCTCCATCACACGCGTCCAAGTACTCCACAGCGTGGCTGGCAAGAAAGGGTATAAAAGAAGAAAATCTAATGACATGGCCTCCTTGTTCACCTGATCTGAACCCCATTGAGAACCTGTGGTCCATCATCAAATGTGAGATTTACAAGGAGGGAAAACAGTACACCTCTCTGAACAGTGTCTGGGAGGCTGTGGTTGCTGCTGCACGCAATGTTGATGGTGAACAGATCAAAACACTGACAGAATCCATGGATGGCAGGCTTTTGAGTGTCCTTGCAAAGAAAGGTGGCTATATTGGTCACTGATTTGTTTTTGTTTTGTTTTTGAATGTCAGAAATGTATATTTGTGAATGTTGAGATGTTATATTGGTTTCACTGGTAATAATAAATAATTGAAATGGGTATATATTTGTTTTTTGTTAAGTTGCCTAATAATTATGCACAGTAATAGTCACCTGCACACACAGATATCCCCCCTAACATAGCTATAACTAAAAACAAACTAAAAACTACTTCCAAAAATATTCAGCTTTGATATTAATGAGTTTTTTGGGTTCATTGAGAACATGGTTGTTGTTCAATAATAAAATTAATCCTCAAAAATACAACTTGCCTAATAATTCTGCACTCCCTGTAGAACTTTACTACCAAGCAGCTATGCTTTCTAGAATCTATGATTGGACAATACCTACAAACAGCACACAATGGGTGGTATTAGAAAACGCAGCTTTCACACACCCTATTTATACCATCCGTTGGCAAAAAAAAGGGTAATCTATCTATAATATTAAAGATGATACAACTAATAACAAATATTAAACTACCCCCCAATCCTGAACTCATATTCTTTCTCCACTTTCCTGAACCTTTGCCTAAACCCACAAAATCACTGATTACCCACCTACTGATAGCAGCAAATGCCCTCATACCCACACGCTGGAAACAGTCAAGAGCCCCCACAATTGGAGAATGGATTCAGAGGGTCGAATCTACTCGCCTAATGGAAGATATCCACTATGCCCAAACACACAAATACCATATATTATCAGACATATGGAATCCCTGGGTTGACTTCATACAAACACAAGACAAATGCCATACAAAATAGACTCAATAAACAACAACGTAAACGAACACCTCTCAAGTAATTACAATCAGAATTCGCAACCACCTTATCACTGGTTCTTGAAGCGAGACGAGCTGCTGGTACCTTTAATATTCAAGCATACATTATATGTTAGCTGTTGTTTTATACTAAGATATTTACCTAAAGAGCACAAAACTACAGTCAGGCTCTCTAACAAATAGTTCACTATGAGTATACCACCATCAATGTTATTTCAACTTATACTACCACTTTATTAAAAGTATTTTGCCCTTTCTTCACCACTCTGAGAAAGACTGTATCTACAACAAAAGATCCTGTACTCACTTGTTTATATTTTATATTTCATATTACTGACCGCTCATACTGGTGGAAACAATGCAAATATATAATCTATCAACAAATGTAATGCATTGACTGTAATGCCTGATATTTTCCAATAAAAACCTTTGAAAAAACAAAAAAAAGAACTGCTTTTGCAAGCTCATTATTTATATATATATATATATATATATATATATATATATATATATATATCCCCAATGCCAACATTAATAGCTAGATACCTGCATGGTTTTCATTGGGGGTATATCTACTAAATAGTGATTCTATTTATTATTGGTGTCAGTTTGTCGATAGTCCAGTTCTTTCTCTTAATTAGCAAGTAAAATACATCATTAGAGTTTTGTATAAAATAATTAAATTAGGTGCTGGGTGTAAGATGTATAAAACTCTGACTCCTGATGGTTTTATTAAGCTTTGACTATTTTAAGCTCCTCAGTTTCAGACTATATTTTGGTATTAATTAGATTGTTAGATCTGCACAGTTGTTATCTGTTATTTTTGACCCTTAAGAAAATGTTAGTTGCTAACGCTTACAAACACTTCAATAAACTGATTTGCATTACTACTCGATTATATATAGCAAACCTTTGGCTCAGCTCTCACCCAATCTATGATTTTGTGGGGGCTTTTGGCAATGGAATCACTGCCATTCTTCAACACATATACCCACATACCATTAATTTTAAAGAGTCTAAGCTGCACTCTTTCCTTCTCTTCTTTTGGCCTCATGTTCAAGCTATGATCTATGCACACATGCTGCATACTTCCAATCATGAAGAGTTTTATGAAAATGTGAGGCATAGCACCAGGGGGCTCTTGATACCACAACCGCTGTAGCCTACTCTAGTGGTTATGGTGCTTAGAGTATCTTATGAGAGAGGCCCACGATAATAAGATGACATTTTTTGTTCCTTCTCTCTTCATTAGATCTGCAACTGTTTCCTAGCATTAAAGAACCATAGAGTGCTAGCCTTATCTAAATTACAGCACTCTAAAAGAAAAATATTTTGGAGAATTATCAGTATATTATTTAATCAGCGTATAATAATGCAGACCTTCTATAACTGAACATGTGATTACACTTTATCTTAATTGGTTCACCCTCCCCTGGTTGTATGTTTTTTAAAATGACTACAGAATATAGTTCTTGCTCACGATGGTAGGGTTTGTTAATATGTGCTAGTTCTCAATTACCGGCTTGGTCTTTGGTCGGAGAGGTGTCCATTCTTACCAAACAGGACTCAAAGGTGACCACATTGAGCAAGGGTGAAAATAGGTATTTACTTATGTGTATTGGTTGCTTACATGAATGCATTACACATAAATTAATTTGATATTTTATTTTCAATAATACAAAATGATGACCATTTTACTGTAAGATATGATCACTTAGTCTACAGTGTAATAACTTGTGATGTCTTTTTGGCCTAGGTATCGCAGTGAGAAGGTGACAATCAGTTACACAGAATACATGGCCTCCCGCCAACCCGCACAGCAGAACGGCACTGTGCATGCACCGCCTCTTTATACTCATTACTCCTGACACAGTGCTGCCCCCGCCGCAGCCCTGTCACCCGCTCGCCGGCAATGCCTGTGACCTCCTGACATCCGACTCCTCCTCCACTCCCTCCTCCTGGTCCAGTTACCTGTACTACTGCACCATCTTATGAGCTTCACTGGAGAGGGGGGAGCAGTGCCCAGAGACTCGCAGAACACACAGCCTTACCTCACCCCACGCTCTCCATGGGACTCTAAGTGGGAGGGAGAGCTAAGATGGGTGTTGTGGCCTCATCCAACTACACCATTGTAAGGGGTCAGACACCCTTAAAAAAAAAAAAAAGCTATTATCGGTTTTTACATTCTGAACTCCTAATTATTATTATTATAATATTCTTTTTATATACGTATATATATAAATATATTTTATTTTATCTTTTTTTTTTAAGCGCAAGAACTTGCTCTCTCACAGCGCCTAATTTTGCCTTGACAGGGGCAATAAAAGCTTACGCTGTTATTGCAACAGGAACATTTAAGCTGCCCAGGTCCTGTGTTGTACATTCAAGGTAGCTATCACACACTCTGAGAGCGGTTTCTTTAAATGAAAGAGTGTCCTATTGGTTAGGGCAGATGTTTAGTATTGGAGTTTGGGCAGATGTTTCTGTGTGGTATTGGAGTTAATTGAATAATCTCCCTGTGTTCCTTCCTGTTTCTTTTCTGTTTCAGGGTTACTCATTTACCTCTGATAGTGCAAATTGTGGGACTAAGGTGGCAAATCAACAACTGGGTTCATCATTCACCTTATGATCCTGTAGTTTTCCAAAATGCCCTAACAATATGCATTTTTGGGTGTTGGCATTATTAACAAAATTGACATGTAATTTTATTTTACCCTAAATGTCTGGGTATACAGCTTCTAGTCTACCCTGAAACACGGGATTATTACATATGAGGTACTAGAAGCACATAAACCACAAGGAAACCATTATCCATTTAATGAGATCTTCGTTGTACTCTGATTGGCACAGTCATGGCTCAGTGATTATTCTCCTTTCCCATATAATCCCACATGTATAACATAAATCATATGTCATATTGTATAATATGACCAAGCCTGTTGGCGTACTGGAGAGGCAGCTCAAGGGAAGAGTGTAACCATGTGTGGCAGAGACAGGAGAGCGGATGGTTTTTGCACATGAAATGTCGGACTTCCCTAATGTCAGCTCGGTCTTCATCCTTTTGTTACCCAAGGGGCCAGTAACAGGAACGTTGCTGACCCCACTGGCGGTAGAAGGGTAAGGATTCCCCAAGCGCAACCCCTTCCTATAAGGAATCACAAAGATTGTTTTTCCTTCCATGCTGCTGAAAATAAATTGAAATTGATTGAATCCAGGATCAGAGCTGTGTCTTTGAAGTATTACTTATGAGATCAAATGATTGCAATGAAGAGATCACATTCCATGTAGTTCTAAATCTGCAGTGAAGGCAACATGTCTTTCCATTCATTAAAGCAGCAATAACACTAAAGTGCAGTGCCCGGGGCTTTCACTAGTAACAAAATAAAAAATGTCTTCATATGCACTGTATGGACTAGTAATACTTTTAAGGAATTCTAAAGTACTAACTGGTGACAATTTAGCAAAATGTTATAAGTCTGTGCTGGACATGCCAGCTATACATTTGGAATGTCAGGGTAGTTCTAAATAGGAATGGGATGTCACTCTAAAGCAGCTCAGTCCAGAGACTCCACCATTTCTGAGAAAAGCATTCTTGTAACTGGAATACGTTTTTGTTCCCCCTTTTGTATATATTTTTACTGATATTCTGTAAGGTAGGGGTAGTCAACCTTTTTCACTGGATGGCTGCATTTATCCAAGTAGCTAGAAATGTAATATAGTAATAAAAATAATAATAGTGGTAACACAGGAAAGGAGACAGTTTCTTGATTCTGATCGTTCCTCCATTTAGTAGATACCCCTCTTATTTGGGTTCCTTATGTGCTGAAAGATCAAAATTAAGAAGAGCCCTTTTCTCCCCATACCCCTACTTGTTCTTATGTTTTAATGTCTTACCTCTTCTCTTCATGTCACCTGTGATTTTTGAATATATACAATTTTCCATTACATAATGGACCAAACTGTTCCTTTTAGACCACTAAAATATCACCCACAAAGCCATAAAAACACAGTCACATAGAAAGACAGACAGGTAAACAGCCAGTCATACACACACTCACATAGACACAGAAGACAGCTTAAAGGGACACTATAGTCACCAAAACTGATGAGCATAGTATGTCCCTGCAGGCATTTTCATGTAAAGACTCTCTTGTCAGAGAAAAGTCAGTGTTTACATTATTGCCTAGGGACACCTCCAGTAGCAGTTAGAGATTTCGCGAACGGCTCGCCACGAACTGTTCGTGGCGAGCTCTGGTCGGCTGACACATCCCGGCCAATCTCCAGCAGACTCTCCCACCTCCTGGACAGCATCCATGTTGGATGCTGTCCAGGAGGTGGGAGGGTCTGCTGGAGATTGGCCGGGATGTGTCAGCCGACCAGAGCTCGCCGCGAACGGTTCATGACATCACTAGTGGCAGTCACTCAGACAGCCACTAGAGGTGCTATACAGGAGGTAAAGTGGGATGGGGTACTAATCACCTACTTAAAGCTAATTTGTATTCCTGACAAAATAGTGTTCCTTTAATAAAATGGTGTGCTATGCTTTAGTGTAATCTTTTAATTTAGGTGTGCTGCCAAGCACCATGACCATTTCAGTGATTTGAAGTGGTCATGGTGGTTGGAGTATTTATGTACAATGCTTCTGCTTGTAACACTGCACATACGGTGTAATTAGCACTTTTTTCCCTGGGGCTTTTTGCATCCCTGACACACATAACTTTATTTTTTTACTTAAGAAGGGAAGGATCTAAAGTATGATGTCCAATAAGGCAGACACATACAATAGGGCATTATCCTTTAAAACAGACTACAAGAAATGGGTTGGAGTAACCCTTTAAGAAGGCAGGCCCTTCACCCACTTGCTGCAAGGGCCTCATCTGGTTGTGCAAGGAGCCATGCAGAGCAACTTGCTCTTTTCTACACACAGTTCCCTTGCGGCCGTTCTTTAGTGAAATAATTTATTACTACACTGTGAACCACCCGGATTTGTGTGTAGAACTCAGGGACAGATGGTGGGCTGGTATATTGCAGGGTTTTGGCCTAAGTTGCCAACCCCTGCTTTAATTGGACAATGACAGGGTTTGGTGTTATAATATAGAACTGAGATCTAAAATAGCATTGATTGTGAACATCTTGGACCCTCCCTTTTTCTCACAAGCACAGAAAAGCCTGCCCTCGGGAAAAGAGCTAGTCTCTTTGTTTCGCTGGCTCATGAGGACCCGCCAAAACTCGCCAGTGCCCACACCAATCTCAGGGATCCTCACCTTAGTCCCTCGATCGACTAGTCTCCGTTCGCGAGGTCCTGGTGTGAGACCCTGTATGTCCCTGCAGGCATTTTCATGTAAAGACTCTCTGGTCAGAGAAAAGTCAGTGTTTACATTATTGCCTAGGGACACCTCCAGTAGCAGTTAGAGATTTCGCGAACGGCTCGCCACGGTTCGCCACGAACTGTTCGTGGCGAGCTCTGGTCGGCTGACACATCCCGGCCAATCTCCAGCAGACCGTCCCACCTCCTGGACAGCATCCATGTTGGATGCTGTCCAGGAGGTGGGAGGGTCTGCTGGAGATTGGCCGGGATGTGTCAGCCGACCGGAGCTCGCCGCGAACGGTTCATGACATCACTAGTGGCAGTCACTCAGACAGCCACTAGAGGTGCTATACAGGAGGTAAAGTGGGATGGGGTACTAATCACCTACTTAAAGCTAATTTGTATTCCTGACAAAATAGTGCTCCTTTAATAAAATGGTGTGCTATGCTTTAGTGTAATCTTTTAATTTAGGTGTGCTGCCAAGCACCATGACCATTTCAGTGATTTGAAGTGGTCATGGTGGTTGGAGTATTTATGTACAATGCTTCTGCTTGTAACACTGCACATACGGTGTAATTAGCACTTTTTTCCCTGGGGCTTTTTGCATCCCTGACACACATAACTTTATTTTTTTACTTAAGCAGGGAAGGATCTAAAGTATGATGTCCAATAAGGCAGACACATACAATAGGGCATTATCCTTTAAAACAGACTACAAGAAATGGGTTGGAGTAACCCTTTAAGAAGGCAGGCCCTTCACCCACTTGCTGCAAGGGCCTCATCTGGTTGTGCAAGGAGCCATGCAGAGCAACTTGCTCTTTTCTACACACAGTTCCCTTGCGGCCGTTCTTTAGTGAAATAATTTATTACTACACTGTGAACCACCCGGATTTGTGTGTAGAACTCAGGGACAGATGGTGGGCTGGTATATTGCAGGGTTTGGGCCTAAGTTGCCAACCCCTGCTTTAATTGGACAATGACAGGGTTTGGTGTTATAATATAGAACTGAGATCTAAAATAGCATTGATTGTGAACATCTTGGACCCTCCCTTTTTCTCACAAGCACAGAAAAGCCTGCCCTCGGGAAAAGAGCTAGTCTCTTTGTTTCGCTGGCTCATGAGAGCCCGCCAAAACTCGCCAGTGCCCACACCAATCTCAGGGATCCTCACCTTAGTCCCTCGATCGACTAGTCTCCGTTCGCGAGGTCCTGGTGTGAGACCCTGGCAAAGGAAGTGTCTACTTTCGCGGTACAAATGCTCCCCCCATCTGTACGAATGGTGGCCACCCAGGGGAGCACTCATTAATTACTTCCCTTGCGGGTTCCACACCTATGTTGAGGATGTGAGCATTCTGAATAATTGGTGTGAACGTTCTAATGGGGCACCAGGGAGGCCCTTGTCCGGGATATGAACAAGTCAGGAAACAATCCATGAATGCTCCCCTGGTGGCGTTTGTCTATACGAATGGCGGCCACCCAGGGAAGCACTCATTAATTGTTTCCCTTGCGTTTTGCGGTTTTAACACTTATGTTGCAAGGTGATTGGGAGGTGTGAACATTCTATACTAACATTCTAAATGAGGTATGGTGGTGGTCCCCATTTGGGAAGTGAATGAATCCCCTTCGTGGGAGCGCTCCTGAATGGAGAGCGGGCATAACAAAGAAAAATACAGGGGTAATACAGGTTAGAGAGGGGAAATCCACGAACAGGCAGTGGTTCTGCCACATGATTTTCAATTCATTCAGAAGTACAGAGTTTTTAAAAAAATGTTTTAAAAAAGCACAATTTATAGAGTTCCTTTTTTGGCTATTGTTGAAATAGGGATAGAATTCTGTTGACATTAGCGTGCAGTTCTTAGAGTTGAATGGCTTGTGAACGTCACTATATATATTAGACATGATTATGGCTGTTTATAAAGAGCAGTCCTGGGGAGAAGTTACCGTAGCGTAGTAACTAGGGAGGTCTTTACTAATAATGCAAAGATCACCGACCGTGATAGAGTTGCTTTAAAGGGACATGCATCCTTTTGATACAACTGTCTCATTGAAAGGCTTTGAATCAGACATAATACAGGTGGAAAAAGCAGGTAAGTATGATTTTTTTGTCATATTTACTTGATTCTTCATCGCTATGTTTACCATGTCTAACTCATATAATTCACCAGATGATATTGTGAGATCATTCACCTGCGCATGCACAATTCGATTTTCCACAATACCTAGGGATAGGACACTGACTAGATCATTGGCTTCTTTTAGCCAATAGTTCATTTCTAGCAACATTCCCTGAAATTAGATATATTCAGTTGCCTTTAAAGCAGTACTGCGACTGCAGAATTAGCAAAGACCCCCTACAGTGACATCGCTGCTGGGGGTTCGATGGCTGGGGGGGGGGGCATGTAAAGGTGAGTTTTCCGCCATCTTCCTCCGGTGGGTCTGCTTCGGCTCCTGGAGCTGACGTCCCTGCTGAACTCTTGTGCGTGGAGGTCTATGGAGGATTCTCCAAGAGGAAGAGAAGAGGAATCGATTGGGAAAAGATAAGTATGGTGTGACAGTGCTGCATTAAAAGACCACTATAGTGCCAGGAAAACATACTTGTTTTCCTGGTTCTATAGGGTCCTTGGGTCCCCCTCACCCTCAAGGTAAGGTTAATCCCTTACCTTTTTTCCAGCGCCAGGCTCCCTCGGCGCTGGGGACTCTCCTCCTCCTTTCGCCGTCATCGGCTGAAAGCGCATGCGCGGCAAGAGCCACATGCGCATTCAGCCAGTCTCATAGGATACCATTCTCAATGCTTTCCTATGGATGCTGGCGTTTTCTCACTGTGAAAATCAACGAGACAGCTACTAGAGGCTGGATTAACCCTAATGTAAACATAGCACATTCTCTGAAACTGCTATGTTTACAGCAGGCAGGGTTAACCCTAGCTGTACCTGGCACCCAGACCACCTCATTAAGCTGAAGTGGTCTGGGTGCCTATAGCGGTCCTTTAATACTCTTCACCTATGCTATATTATGGGTTTCACTCTCAAACTGGTCAGGGAGCTGTGATGGAAGTGCTCAGTTCAGGCAAGAGATAAATGCAGCTGTGTTCATTTCTACATTTAATGTTATTTTTCAATCATCAAAAACGCATATATGGTAAATAGACAAGAGACACAAAGTAAGGTTAGCATGGCACTCAGTCAATGCTTAGAGAGCAGCACGTTACTGCGCATGGGCAAGAGAGCAGCACGAGCGAGATCAGCGGCGGGACAGAGCGGCCCTGACCTACACTACGCTCCTGCGCTCGTAACGTTCTATGGTAGCCTGTTTCCGCTTCCGGCCGTGCTGCTAGCTAGTAGGGACCTGTAGGGTTGACCATGGCTGCTGGGGGGTCGGAGAGTCGGACTGGGGATATTGAAGAGGATGCTTCGCAGCTTCTTTTCCCGAAAGGTAATGCGCGTTAGTGGATCTGGATATGACCAGGAGTGAGAGAGCCTGGTCTCCATTGGCTCTGCCTAGGTCCCTCTTAGAATGGATGGACGTGCTGTGCAGAGGATACAGGCTGATGCTGGTACTGGGGCAATGAGGGAGCTTGTGCTCTGAATGGGGACTGTCTAGGTAGGTGTCTGGGGGCAGAGCTAAGGAGGAGGATTTAAAAGGTCGCTATAGGCAATAATACACATGGGGTGCACTCAGATTGCAGCTAAGAGTACACAGCAGTGAGGGGGATGGTCATTTTATTTTTCTGTGTTCTCTATCTCATTATTGGAAGTGTATAATGTTAGAGGAATATGTGAAAGCAAATGCAGTGTATGGGATATAGGGGTCAGAGGATAATGCTTATACAAGACATACACTAAATCCATAATGTTTGGATTAGATAAATCCAAAATTAGATCAGAGATATTATAGACCAGGGGTCCTCAAACTCCGGCCCTCCAGATGTTGCTGAACTACAACTCCTATGATTCTTTGAATTCCATAGATAGCCAGAGAATCATGGGAGTTGTAGTTCAGCAACATCTGGGGGGCTGGAGTTTGAGGTTATAGATAAATATAGGAGAGAGGCAGAGTGAAGGTTAATTTGACTTCTCAGTAATGTAAAACACCAGTAATGTAAAACAAATATTCACACAGGAATTGCTCTAATTTTGACCTAAGTGCTGCATATTGACTCTACAAATGAGCAGATTCAAAGCTAAAACGTTCTAATCTCAAGCAGTTTGAAAACAAAGCGATATTGCATGAATTATGTAGTTTTGTTCTTTAAATGGAATTGTATTGAAATGTTTGTTTTTCAATTTTTATTTTGCTTTTAGAGTTTGAGAGTGCAGAAACACTGCTAAACTCTGAGGTCCACATGCTGCTGGAACACCGAAAGCAGCAGAATGAAAGCGCAGAAGAGGAACAGGAATTGTCAGAAGTCTTCATGAAAACCCTTAACTACACAGCAAGGTTCAGCCGTTTCAAGAACAGAGAGACAATTGCCAGTGTCAGAAGGTATATTCCTGTTACATTACTGCTTGGAAGATTTGTGAATGAAAACACAAACGACATGTAGTTCTTCAAGTTTGGTGGCCTAAAACCGTCAAATAATATGTAGAAGTCAGCCAGTTAAAGGACCACTATGGTGCCAGGAAAACATACTCGTTTTCCTGGCACTATAGTGCCCTGAGGGTGCCCCCACCCTCAGGGACCCCCTCCTGCCCGACTCTGGAAGGGGGAAAGGGGTAAGGGGTAAAAACGTACCTTTTTCCAGCGCTGGGCGGGGAGCTCTCCTCCTTCTCTCCTCCCCGTCCCCTGAATGCGCACGCGCGGCAAGAGCTGAACGCGCATTCAGCCGGTCGCATAGGAAAGCATTATCAATGCTTTCCTATGGACGCTGGTGTGCTCTCACTGTGAAAATCACAGTGAGAAGCACGCAGGCGCCTCTAGCGGCTGTCAATGAGACAGCCGCTAGAGGGAATGGGGGAAGGCTTAACCCATTCATAAACATAGCAGTTTCTCTGAAACTGCTATGTTTATGAAAGAATGGGTTAAGCCTAGCTGGACCAGGCACCCAGACCACTTCATTAAGCTGAAGTGGTCTGGGTGCCTAGAGTGGTCCTTTAATAGACAGAATCTAAGAGTATCTTAAAGGGGCACTCCATGTGGTAGGGTAACCCTATTTACATAGTACGCTCATCCATCCATGTTAAAGCTCCTCTTGCCCTTTTGGGTCTTTACAAAATATGCACAGACTATCCTACCCTCCAAAAGGTGACATGCGTGCTTGATGTAAGATGGCAGACGGAGAAGATATACTTACCTTCAGCTTGAGAACTGAGCGGGGACCGACCGAAGGGCAGGCTATTTCAGCTGCTGCCCGTTCTCAGTATTCTCTTGCGACCCATTTTTGACTCTCCACAATTTTAAAGGGATAATCCAGACGTGGACCCCTTGCTCATGGTGCCTAGGGAGATACCAGCTATGCCTCACTGATGATGCCTAACAAGGCTGAAACGATCGTCTGGGGTTGCTGTATCTCTCGTGCAGAGAGAACTTGCTGGCATTTCGGATCTGGACTGCCCGTATGGGTGGGACCAGTCTGATATGCTTCAGATATGTTCTCTGTAATGGCACAAGATGAGCAAAAATCAGCTTGAGAACTGAGCGGGGACCGACCGAAGGGCAGGCTATTTCAGCTGCTGCCCGTTCTCAGTATTCTCTTGCGACCCATTTTTGACTTACCTTAAGGTTTCCACAGCGTCTTCTGTCCTTTGTTTGTCTTAAGCTCATGGGCCTTCATTTGCCAAAAGCCAATGAAGTACTTTTGCTGTACTCTTGTTGTGCTCTCAAGTGCGAGAAAAGTGAGATCTATGGCAGATCTTACAGGGAATGGGCGGGCAGCCAGCTTTGCGGAATGGGAGCAAGAGGTGAGGAAAGCTAAGCTGTCTTTACCTGTTGTCCTGCCAGCTTGCCATTCCCCTCTGTAGCCTAAGCCACGGAAGGAAGTAATTTATAATTCACTTCCTCCCGGTACACCGGCACCCAGCGATCAACACGGCATAGAAAGACAGGACGAAGGAATGGGCTCATAAATCCAAGGCATCCGGACAAACTTTTCAGTCTCCATGGCGACCTGGCACCTGAGATTTGTTTGTTTTATCACATGGCTGGAGAAAGATCTGTTGTGCTAAGGAGTCTGTTGGTGCAACTTAAAATCTGATGTGCCATCTATTTAAATAAATAATAATAAAAAAAAATATATACATTTTGATTGTAGTTTTTGAGAAATACAAAAATGCTTTGAAATATAGCAATAGAGAAGATTACCACTCAGCATGTGGCATCGAGTATTACTAATGCCTTATGAAAAGGATATAAATAAAAAAATTTAAAAAAGGATATAAGCAATACAATCAGAAGTATAGGTAGGTACAATGGTTCATATTAAAGCACTGCAAAACAAGTTAGTGGTATATAAATACTACTACTATCTAATTTCTGTATAAATCAGAAATAGGGAGAAAAAACACTTTTTAAAAGGAGTATCTCACTGAAATTTTAACAAGGTAGAGCAGAACTTTTCAAGCCCTGCACATTAACCAGTTATCTGCTGCAAACCTGGCAGGTACACAACATATTTACCATGGGTGAATGTCTACTTGCCAGGGCTACATTTCAATTCACCAGTGGCTAGGGAAAATTTTGAGCCCTGCTGTGGGCTAAGTTTGCTCAGTAAAGGGAATAATGTGTCAATGGTCTATGTAGCTTTTATTTGTTCCATTTAGAGCAGGGGTTCCCAACCCAGTCTTCAAGTACCCCCTACCAGGCTAGAATTTAGAGATTACTCTGTTGTGTCTATAGTGTGTTTTCTTTTTTTTTTTTCTTCTAAAAATACCTTAGACAAAACTTGGTATTCCCTACATCCTGGCCAGGTAGGGGGTACTTAAGGACTGGGTTGGGAACCACTGGTTTAGAGGGAAAGATTTGGCCGCAACTAGTAAACAATTAGTTGATTTTTTTTTTTTTTTTTTATAAATATATGTTTTTTTTTTTTGTTTTTTTTTACAGGATAGAAAAAAATATATAAAACAGTCTGGTCAGAAGGGAATAGTAATATTGAACATTTTTTTTTAATTCTGGAATGTACTTGTGACCGAAATGTTCCAAGTTTGGGATAATGTCACAATTTATTTAATATCTCTGAGCCGAATGACATTGCCAGCAAATATAATTAACATGTTAGGAAACATATTTTAAATGATCTGTTACTGTCATGATCTTGAGCAGGTCAGATAGGAGACTTTGGCCAGGGTTGTTATTTGAGACTTTATTGGTGCTTTTAGACATATTATGAAACTTGAGAAAAAAACAGAATTAAGGCATTATGCCACAAAACAGGATTTGCAAATAATAAAGTCTGTGATCTCCAGGTAGGGTTGAAACAAAGGCAGGATGGTTACAGTGGAAGGCTGGTAACAGAGGTCAAAATCATACATAAGAGTGGAGCAGGTTAGAAGGAAAGTCTGGAGCAGGTTGGTATGGAGCAGGGTTGAGGGTAAGTCTGGAGCAGGTTCACAGGAGCCAGGAATTGAAGTCTTTCAGGCAAATCACCAACTTCAATGTAAAGGCCCTGTTGTGAGTAGGGTGTAGCCTTATGAAGCCTCATTAGTCCAGGCAGGTGAGGAGAATAAGGTGACTGAGGAGATTAGTGGCTAGGGAGGCCACTAGAGGCAAGAAACAAGTATTACATGAAATAACAGAAGAAAATGAAACATGTTCCTGGTTGTCAGGATAGGATCCTGACAGTTATCTTATTACTGGAGTCAACAGAATTTGTAATTGTTGCTTGTTTTATTGGGAGCTTAGGGATTGGCATAGCTCCTATAAAAATAGGCAATTAAATGTACCTTGGAATGTCCCTTTAAGAAAATAATGCATCCACACGCAAAAATAATTTATCACTGGATGAAAAGTACTTTTACCTAGGCATAAAACAAAATGAAGATCATTTTTCTTCTTTGTAACAATTCTATATAATTGATGCCATTGCTGTTTGTAACAATTTGATGTGCTGCTCCACTAAGGGAATACAGCAAATATTCCTGAATTTAAAAAAGGAATTTTATCTGATCTCTTGCCTAGTCAAAAATAATGTGTATCAAGTAATTTTTAGCATTTTTTTGTTGTTATTTATCTCATGCAGTATGATGTAAATATGAATTCATGAACGTGGTGTAAATGTGTTTGCCTTTGACAGTTTGCTATTACAGAAGAAGTTGCATAGGTTTGAACTGGCGTGTTTGGCCAATTTGTGCCCAGAAACAGCAGATGAAGCCAAGGCCCTTATACCAAGGTACTGAGAAAGATAGTGCTTGTTCTTTTCCTAATATTTGTGGGTGGGTGGGGATTCCTTCTCTTCTTTCTGTTTGTTGACTACTATGTATATTTCTTCAGTTGTTTACAGGTAATAGTACAGAGGTTTGAAACCTTTAACTCGAGATGTTTTTTATATATATATATTATGAGAGAGCGCTCTTACAGCGTTGTCTATTCCTTTTAATAAGTAACTGTATTCCTCCTCCATTTGTACTGCATTTTTCTTGGTTCCCTTCAACAATTCCTTTTGTTAAATTTTTTTTCTACTTCGCAGCTTGGAGGGTAGGTTTGAAGAGGAGGAACTGCAGCAAATTCTTGATGACATTCAGACCAAGCGAAGCTTTCAGTACTAAGATCTCAATGTTGAACAAGCTTTTCCCATAAAGACTTTTCTCGTACTTTTGTTTTGGATCATGATGGACTGGATTTTGTGCTCTGTTTACTACCAATTATTTACGTGGATTGCTTCTATGGCAAGGACCCAGTATACATGTAATTATCATTTATCATTGTGTTTATGTTCATTTTGAATTGTTAATAAATTTTTATTATTGCCATTTTATTTTGTAATGTTGAATTCCTAAATGATGTGTTACTTGTTCTGGTATGTCTATTTCCAAAAGTGTTTTTGTGGTAAGGAAAATACTATAGACTCTCCCTAGGCCAGTATAAACCCCGCCTGCTTTATAGGGGATTAAAGCAGGGGCACAAATCTTGTAGAAGTACAACCTATGAAATATACGGAACTTGGGATCCAGAGACTTCAAACCAAGCTGTCCAGCAGTGAAATTATTAGGGATCGACCGATATTGATTTTTTTTAGAGCCGATACTGATACCGATATTCTGTGAACTTTCAGGCCGATAGCCAATATAATTTGCCGATATTTTGTACATTTACCATTTTGGAAAATAAAAACTATTTCTAAAGGTAAATGCACAAAATATACATGCCACGTGTAGTGGATGCAGTGTGTTTAGACAGGGGAGCTGTATGTGTTTGTGTAGTGTGTGTGTGTGTAGTGGATGCAGTGTGTGTTTGTGTAGTGTGTGTGTAGTGGATGCAGTGTGTGTTTGTGTAGTGTGTGTGTAGTGGATGCAGTTTGTGTAGTGTGTGTGGATGCAGTGTGTGTGTGGATGCAGTGTGTATTAGTGTAGTGTGTGTATATAATGAAAGCAGAGTCTTTGTGTAGTGTGCGTAAAGTGAATGCAGTATATACTAAATGCAAAGCGTGTGTGTTTGTGTAGTGTGTGTATATAATGAATGTAGTGTGTTTATATAATGCAGAGTGTATGTTTGTATAGTGTGTATATAATGCAGTGTGTTTGTGTAGGGTGCATTATATAAACACTATGCAAACACACACTGCATTATATAAACACACACTGCATTATATACGCACACTACACACACTACATTATATATACGCGCACACACTGCATTATATACACACAATACACACACTGCATTATATAGACACTACACAAACACACTGCATTATATACCCAGTGTGTTTGTGTAGTGTGTGTATATAATGCAGTGTGTGTAGTGTGTGTGTATATAATGCAGTGTGTGTAGTGTGTGTGTATATAATGCAGTGTGTATATAATGCAGTGTGTGTGTATATAATGCAGTGTGTGTGTATATAATGCAGTGTGTGTATAGTGTGTGTATATAATATAGTGTGTGTGTATATAATGCAGTGTGTGTATAGTGTGTGTGTGTGTGTATATAATGGTGTGTGTATAGTGTGTGTGTGTGTGTATATAATGGTGTGTGTATATAATGCAGTGTGTGTATAGTGTGTGTGTGTGTATATAATGCAGTGTGTGTGTGTGTATATAATGCAGTGTGTGTATAGTGTGTGTGTGTGTATATAATGCAGTGTGTGTATAGTGTGTGTGTGTATAGTGTGTGTGTGTGTGTGTATATAATGCGGTGTGTGTATATAATGCAGTGTGTGTATAGTGTGTGTGTGTGTGTGTATATAATGCAGTGTGTGTATAGTGTGTGTGTGTGTATATAATGCAGTGTGTGTATAGTGTGTGTGTGTGTGTGTATATAATGCAGTGTGTGTATAGTGTGTGTGTGTGTGTATAGTGTGTGTGTATATAATGCAGTGTGTGTATAGTGTGTATATATAATGCAGTGTGTGTGTATAGTGTGTGTGTGTATATAATGCAGGTGTGTGTGTGTATATAATGCAGTGTGTGTATAGTGTGTGTGTGTGTATAGTGTGTGTATATAATGTGTGTGTGTATATAATGCAGTGTGTGTATAGTGTGTGTGTGTGTATATAATGCAGTGTGTTTGTGTAGTGTGCATTATATAAACACTATACAAATACTGCATTATATACACTTTGTGTAGTGTATGTGTATATAATGGAGTGTGTGAGGGGGCATTTTTTTTATTAATTTTTTTTTTTTTAATAATTTTGTTGTTCCCCCCCTGCTTGTTGCCTGGCCAGGGAGGGGGGATATAGCAGTCCCTGGTGGTCCAGTGGCATTGGCTGAGTTGGGGGCGCAAGCGCACTCACCTCCCAGCAGCTCTGCCACCGCGCCAGTGCCATGGTGGTACCCATGGCGCTCTGACTGGCCGGCCCAGGTCAAGAGTTACACTGGGGAGCTGGAGGAGCTGCTGGGAGGTGAGTAAGCGCTTGCTCTCCGCCCCTCCCAGGACCGCCGGGCTTGTAATGAGCCTGGCGGTCCTAGGAGGCATTATCGGCAATATCGGTATCTGAATTGGCCAATACCGATATTGTCAAAAATACCGAATATCGGCTGATTATATCGGTAAAACCGATAATCGCTCGATCCCTAGAAATTATTACTGGTATTTATATAGCGCCAGCATATTCTGTAGCGCTTTACAATATTATCAAGGGGGGGGGGGGGATTTAACAATGACACAAGTACAAAAAGTTACAGGAACAATAGGCTGAAGAGGGCCCTGCTCAAACGAGCTTACAGTCTATAGGAGGTGGGGAGTAAAACCCAACAGGACAGGAGGTAGCAATCAAACAAGGTGGAGTGAAGCAGAGCCCGAGGAGAGAATAGTGCGCTGCCCTTTAGGAGAGACCAAGGGACAGGTATGTGAGGTAGAGGTTACTCTGGGAGGCCATAAGCTTTCCTAAAGAGATGGGTGTTTGAAGCACTTTTTAAATGACTGAAAACTAGGGGAGAGCTTGATGGTCTTAGGCAGGCTATTCCAAAGGAAAGGAGCCACCCTCGAGAAGTCCTGCAAGCGTGAGTTGACTGTATGGGTCCGAGCAAAAGACAGGAGAAGGTCATGGGCAGAGCGGAGAGACAGAGAAAGTGCATACCTGTGGATCAGTGAAGAAATATAGGAGGGGCTAGAATTGTTCAGTGCTTTTATTTTATTTTTTTTAATTCTTTATTTATAACAAGGTCAGACACCACAAGAATATATGCAACATGGAACAAATAAGCACATTAGCATTAACACATGTCAGTATTAGTTAGAAGCAAACATTTACGCAAATCTAGAAAACAGTCATTAAACAGCTTAAACATTGTATCTAACTGTTGCTTGTTGACTCTGAAAGTCCATAAACCGTGGCGTCCTACCCATTTTGATTTAAGGTATATCAAAAACTCCTGACTGACTATTAAACACATACTAAGATTTTACGTCCCCTATCATCAATGACCGAAAGAATGCGTTGAAAAGCAGTCTAAGTCAGCGGACTCCAACCTAATGTAGACGATAGCTACTGTGGCGTTCCCATTATGTTCTTAAGACCCCTATAAGCGCCCCTCGAATCGCCCCAGTTTAGAAGATGTTAGATAATGTAATGGTCTATTATTTAGATGTCAGTCAGAGATAAAAATGTGATAATTTTTAGTAAAAAAGAAGAGTGAAAAGATAAAGCGGATAGTACCGTGAGTAGAAAAGAGAAGAAAGAGACGGGGATGGGAGGGGGTATTACAGGGAGATCGTATGGATGATACAAGTCCGTCCAAGTGGTTAGGTAGCCATATGCCTGAATATTTAAACTAAAACAAGGATGGACTGATGTGGGTACCACTAACTTGAAGGGAGAGAGAGAAAGGGGGATCAGTATTCGGAGAAGGAAAGACAAGGAGCTCAGTTTTAGAGAGATTGCGTTTTAAAAAGCGGGAGGATATCCGATCAGAGATGGAAGAAAGGCAAGCTCCGGGGAGGAGAGGTATATCTGAGTGTCATCAGCATACAGGTGGTATTGGAATCCAAATGGGGTAATAAGTTTGCCAAGAGAGGCAGTATAAAGAGAAAATAGATGGGGCCCAAGTACAGAGCCTTGGGGGACTCCAACATAGACAGGACAAAGAGAGGAGGTATCATTTAAAATAAAAAAAAAAAGAGACACTTAATGAGCATTGGGAGAGATAGGAGGAAAACCGAGAGAGGACAGTGTCACAGAGACCGAGTGAAGTGTTTGGAGAAGGAGAACATAGTCAACCATGTCAAAGGCAGCAGAGAGGTCAAGAAGAATTAGTATACAGTAGTGCCCTTTGGATTTAGCTGCGATTAGGTTGTTAATGACTTTAACAAGAGCAGTCTCAGTGGAGTGGAGAGGGCAGAAGCCAGACGGAAGAGGGTCAAGGAGAGAGTTGGAACAGCAGGGACAACACCTGAAGAGAGAGAGCAGTTGAAGATGTGTGTTAAGGAAGGCACAAGACGAGGAGAGAGAACTGATAAGGTGAGATGGGACAGGATCAAGTGGGCAAGTGGTGGGTCGAGAGGAAAGGAGAAGCGCAGACACCTCTTGTTCAGTAGCCTGAGAGAAAGTCTGATGGGTAGGACCTAGATGTGGTTGAGAAAGAGAGGGGTAAGGTTGTGAGAATTCTTTCCATAGCTGTTGAAATCTTGACGGTAAAGTAGCATGCAAAGCTATCGGCTGTAAGATTAGTTTGGGGAGGGGGTGGCCACAGCAGGTCAAAGAAGGGAGTTAAAGGTTAACATGAGCTAATGAGGTAGGAAAAGTATGACTTTTTGGCAAGGGCTGTGCTGTATGAACGCAACATAAATTTGTAGTAGAGGAAGTCAGACTGGGTGCGTGACTTCCTCCAGCAGCGTTCAGCAGAACGGGAGCACCTCGGCAGGTAGCGTGTTGATTTAGTGTGCCACGGTTGGTGCCATGTTCTCCTCACGGTGCATGTTTGGAGTGGGGCTGCAGTGTCCAGGGCAGAAGTGAGTGTAGTGTTATATGAGGAGATAGCCAGGGAGGGACAGGAGAAAGTAGGGGTGGATAGAAGTTGGCAATCAATATTAGCTGATAGCTGCTGGAGGTCAATATAATTCTGATTTCTTCTTAGTTAAAGAAATTGGTTGAGTTGGCATATAACCTGCAGTTACTTTATCAGGAAATAACTTTAACCCCTTAAGGACACATGACGGAAATATTCCGTCATGATTCCCTTTTATTCTAGAAGTTGTGTCCTTAAGGGGTTAATGATCCTTGAGGTGTCCTCTACAGATGTGTAGGTAGTTGTGCTGTTGATATTTGAACAGTAATAGCTAATTGAAAGTGAAGTTTCAGGTTTGTCTAGTAGAGCTCCAGAAAACATATGTGGTTAAAGGGACACTATAGTCACCAAAAAAGCTTTGACTTAATGAAGCAGTTTTGGTGTATAGATCATCCCCCTGCAGTCTCACGACTCAATCCTCTGCCATTTAGGAGTTAAATTACTTTGTTTATGCAGCCTTAGCCATACCTCCCTGCACATGACTTACACAGCCTTCCAGAATTTCTTATCTCCTGCACTGTTTATAGCCTTCTAGCCCCTTCAGGAGCCTCCTGTATATAATTAAAGTTCAATTTATAGAGATAAAGAAAACCTTTAAAGTAAGTTACATCTGATTAAAAAGGAAAACATTATTTTTCATGCTGACTGTGTCAGTCACAGCCAGGGGAGGTGTGGCTAGGGCTGCATAAACAACAAAAGTGACTTAGCTCCTAAATGGCAGAGGATTGAGCAATGAGACTTCAGAGGCCTGATCTATACACCAAAACTGCTTCATTAAGATAACGTTGTTTTGGTGACTATAGTGTCCCTTTAAAGTCGAGGTCAGACCACGTTCCTTTTGGGTTTTGTTGTTTCTTTGTTTTTATTTTAATAAACTTTTTTTTTTTTTTTTAAATCTACGTTTTAAGGGTAACTTTTGAACTAAAGTTTCTTTTGGTATTCCGGAAACCATTTTGCTGTCTAAGCATCATGGGAAATGTAGTGCATGAGACTTGATCTGGCGACATGTCTGAAGACTTTTCCTGTGCTTTGATACACCCTAAAATTAATACTCTATGCTCCATAACCACAACTGTAAACATTAGTAATTATGGGGCCCTGGCATCCTCCCTATGTAAGTAGTCAAATTGTTTAGCAACAGTTTGACTTCTTACCTAGTGTTCACCTGATTAGCTCTTCTCTGTGTGAGCTAAGCCCAGTGGTGGTCAAAGATCACAGCGGTCGAAAAAGTCAATATTTTCTGGCATGTTCTCACCTTAAAAACAAAAAACACTGAAGTCAGATTCTCTCTGTAGCCCTATCCCCCAGTGATATCACTCCCCCTCTTGTCCAGGATTGTTTATGATGCTGTCAGAGGTAGAGTTACAGAAAAGTGATTTATCTCAGTATGTCCACTTAAATAGTCATGATATTTGGAGAAAGTCTTTAACTACAGAGTAGAGGGCTTACTGAGGCCGTAGACCCATTGGGTAGCCCTCATGCTTAGGACCACCACCAGGGCAGCTCCCACCTGCCCCAACTTACTCCTTCCCTGCTAAAAGGCGTGTAATAAGAGGGTAGCTAAAATATATGTATATAATACTTGATTTCTATGTCAGTGTGTTCTGTGTGTATTTGTGTGTGTATTGTATCTGCGTGGCAGTGTATGTGGAAATAGGTGAATACACCCCAGCTTTTAAACACTACACAGAAATACACTTGCATTCAAACACATTATTCATGCAAAAATATACCTACATTTAAATAAACATTGCATATAAATGCAGTAGTTTGCAAGAAAACAAAAGTATAATGCACACACTAAAAAGGGGGAATACTTCCTGCAGGGTGCTCCTGAAAGGGAGGGCCCATACCTGGAGACATCAATTGGAAGAAAAGATAAAGACTTTATAAAGGTTCAGAGAGGAGCTGAAACGTCTCATTCAGGTGTGCCTGGATCAATATATATGGTGTATTTGCCATGAGGCAAACAAGGCATTTGCCTTGGGCGGCAACCCCCCCCCCCTCAATGCCCAGGCAAATACCTTAAATAAAAATATTAAAATGTTATTTATTACAAATTAAAACATATATAGTATACACTATATATGTTTAATTTGTAAATAGCATATACTATATATGTTTTAATTTGTAATAAATAAAATAGTAATATTTTTCCAACAAAGTCCCTTGAAGCCTTAGAGAATCTTCATTGGAGTGGTGCCATCCCCAGAAAACTGGCACTCTACTTGTTACCCTTAGAGCTAGGAATTAAAGACTCTAAAAAAGGTGAACTCAATATTTACTATTAGGATGATAGGATGAAGTTCACAACTGAAAGATACTGCACATTGGTTGTTTCTTTTCTTATATCCCGTCTGGAGGAAATGATACCGTGCGAGTGGTGTGTTGCTGCCCTAAAAGCACAAAGGTTCATCCTACAGAGCCAATATTCTATAGGCTCCAGAACATGAGTGGTTCTAGATTTTTGTTTAACCCCTTCAGGACCGGCCTTTTTTGGCCATGTTGTACGTTAAGGACCAGGGCTCTTTTAACACTTTTGTGGTGTTTGTGTTTAGCTGTAATTTTCCTCTCTTTCATTTACGGTCCCCATACAAGTTATATATTGTTTTCTTTACATATCATTATTTGTATCATGTCATATAATTTACTTTAAAAAAAAAAAAAAAAATATGGTGAAAAATTGAAAAAAAAATATGGTTTTTGAATTTTGCTTGAAAAATCTTTTACTTACCTACGAAAGCTAATGAATCAAACTGCTAAATAGATTCGAAATTTTGTCCTGAGTTTAAAAACACCCAGTGTTTACGTGCTTTTTTTTTTGCAAGTTATAGGGCTATAAGTACAAATAGGAAATTGCTGTTTCAAAATATATATTTTTAAAATGTATCAATAGTGACATTGTAACACTATTATCTGTAATAAATCTCTGAATCACACCCCACATGTAGATATTTTTTTTAAAGTAGACAACCCAGGGTATTCAATTTGGGGTATGTCCAGTCTTTTTTAGTAGCCACTTAGTTCATATTTGTTTGTGTGTGAAAAAAGTAAAAAACTAAATTGAACGCTAATTTTGGCCAGTGTGAACAACTAGTTTTGGCCAGTGTGAACAACTAGTTTTCCCTTTAGCTCAGGGTTTGATGTGGGCTCCGTGCAGTTTTTGGGCTTGCGAATACCCATGATAAAAGCATGGGCGACTGGCCTTGGGGGGGATGAAGGGGGGGGGAGGTGGAGCCACAGTGGCGAATGAGCTGGGTTCTCATTGTGCAGATGCAATCACTGTGCACCAGGAAAAGTATTCACTCCAGCTCTCCCAGAGAACAGTAGGATAATTGTGGTGGATGTAAAACCAAACAAAAACAGAAACATTGAAAATCTCCTCTGTGCATAGCCTTTATGCTGCAACTCTGATAAAAAAAAAAGGAAAAAGAATTAGGTACACAGTGGTTACTTACTGTAGCTGATAGATTTACTGCTGGGGTTGTGGTGCTGATTCTATATTTCCAAATTCCATCTTCAACACAATTCCAAAAAAGGATCACACTTTGTAAACAGTAAGCTCCAAATCATGTCCACGAGGTGGATCCTTAAAAGTACTCCATTTATGGAAAAATATACAACACGGAACAGAACATACTCACAGACATCAAAGTAACAAGTGATATAGATGAAATCCTAAATAAGTTAACAGAAGGTACAAAAAACGTTTAAACAATTCTAAGTCCTAAATCCAAGCATCTGTGAAAGGGGGGGTGGGAGAAGTAATGAATGCTAGGAATAACCCTAAGCGGGTTCTGAATGCATTTTTACTTTTACCCTAAGACTTTATCAACAGTAATAAACAGTAATGATAAAGCGTTGGGGTAAACATGAAACATTACTTCTCACAGGTACTTGGATATAGGACTTACATTTTTTGTAATTTTAGGGTTTCATCTAAATCGCATGTTACTTATGAGGTCTGTGAGTATTTTCTGTTCTATGTTGCATATTTTTCAATAAACTGAGTACTTTTAAGGAATATTTGGTGCTTACTGGTTACAAAGTGCGGTTCCTGTTTGGAATTGTGATGAAAAATTGTGGTGGATGGCTTAAAAATAAATATTGTGTGTGATGTGCACATGTTTCTGATTATGTGTGTGTCGGAATGTGTGTATGTTTAGTAGCTAGCTCCCTAATTTGGTATCTTTAAATATGGCAATTCGACATACCAAATTAGGAAGTTATCTATTAAACAGCTGAAATATCAACATTTTTAAAAAACCCTTTCTTAATTTTGATCTTTCAGCTATTTAATAGATAACTTTCTAATTTGAGTTTGAGGAAAATGACAAAGAGGTGTTGCTTTGGCCTCCAATTTCCCTAGATCTCAATGCGACTGAGCATCTGTGTGATGTGTTGGAACAACAAATCTGATCCATGGATCCCCACCAAGCAACTTGCAGGATTTAAAGCATCTGCTGCGAATGTCTTGGTGCGAGATACCACAGGACATGTTCAGAAGACTTGTTGAGTCCATGCCTCAACACATCAGAGCTGTTTTGGCTGCACGAGGTGGAACCACGTGATATCAGGCAGGTGGTTTTATTGTTGTGGCTAATCAGCATGTAAGGAATAAAAACTTGATCCCCACTGCTGCTGCAGACAGGACTCCATTGTCAACCTACACCTCATCATAATCATTAAGCCATTAGGCAAACTAACACTCAAGCTGTATACTAGGTTAGAAGCTGTATACTAAAAATAGTGACAAAGTACACAGACATGTATAACAAAACCATTTATTAATATAGAATGTGCACACTGACAAACAAGGAAGGGATAATTGTGCTCAGTAGCAATAGTTGTGCAGGTTGTTCTAAACATTAATCCAATGATGATCATGAGGTTTCACTTTAATGAAAACTATCAGGTATTTGAACACATAATGTTAAAGGAGCACTATAGTGCCAGGAAAGCAAACCTGTTTTCCTTGCACTATAGGGTTATTAGGTCGTCCCCCCTCCCTCGTGGTTCCCCTCCCGCTGGGCTGAAGGGGTTAAAACTAGGCTCCCTCGGCGCTGGTGACTTCTCCTCCCCCTGCCAACATCAGCTCTCGAGTGGACCGAATGCGCATGCGCGTCCAGTAGTGCACACGCATTCAAACTGCCCATAGGAAAGCATTACTCAATGCTTTCCTATGGGGATCTGAACTCACGCTGCGTGAGTTCAATGCGATTCTCTCACTGAGAACCGCCTCTAGTGGCTTTCAGGAAGACAGCCACTAGAGGCTGGATTAACCCTGCAGTATAAACATAGCAGTTTCTCTAAAACTGCTCTGTTTTCAGCTGCACGGTTAAAACTAGGGGAACCTGGCACCCAGACCACTTCATTGAGCTCAAGTGGTCTGGGTGCCTATAATGGTCCCTTAATGTCGGTATCATAAAACAGAGAAAGCATTCTTTTGATGTTAGCAATTGAAGTACTATCTACCGAAGATCCACTACAATTTCAAAGTAAACCAGCATTTAAACATTTTTTAAACAGATGTATTATCTTACTGTGCCTCCATACTTCCCCAACTCTTTTTATTAAATATTTTTCTAAATGTATAATGCCATTAGTATTTATAAGATTCTCATTAGTATTTATAATGCCAAGGTCCCTCCTATAAAACCCTATTAAATAAGTTATAAAACCACCTGGAATTCCATGCCCCCATTACATAGTTATATAGGCTGAAAAGAGACATGTGTCCATCAAGTTCAGCCTTCCTAATATCTGATAAAATGGTCTGGGTAGTTATAGTGTCCCATTAAAGGATACTATAGGTACCAAAACAAGTTTTGCTTAATGAAGCAGTTTTGGTGTATAGATCATGCCCCTGTAGTCTCACTGCTCAATTCTCTGCCATTTAGGAGTTAAATCCTATAGACTGTAAGCTTGTTTGAGCAGGGTCCTCTTCAACCTATCGTTCCTGTAAGTTTTCTTGTAATTGTCCTATTTATAGTTAAATCCCCCCTCTTATAATATTGTAAAGCACTACGGAATCTGTTGGTGCTTTTTTAATGGCAATAATAATAATAAAATCACTTTGTTTATACAGCCCTAGTAACATATCCCTGCATGTGACTTGCACAGCCTTCCTAAACATTTCCTGTATAGAGACATCTAATGTATAAAATAATTTTATTGCACATTCTGTTTAATTTAGAATGTATTATCTCCTGCTCTGTTAATAGCCTTCTAGACACTGCAAGAGTCCCCTGTGTGTGATTAAAGTTCAATTTAAAGAGCAGGAGATAAAAGCTTCTAAAGCAAGTTAACATCTGATTCAGAAGGAAACCTTTTTTTCCCATTTGGGCAGTGAGAGTCACAACCAGGGAAGGTGTGGTTAGGGCTGCATAAACATCAACAAAAGTGATTTAACACCTAAATGGAAGATAATTGAGCAGTGAAACAACAGGGGCATGATCTATACACTAAAACTGCTTCATTAAGCTGAAGTTGTTTTCATGCCTATAGTGTCCCTCTAACTATTGTAGCAAGGTATAAAATTAAGAAGAGAGGCAGGAAGGGAACTTACCCTTGCTGGCAGTGGTAAGAGCTGATGATGTCTGTCACCAACAAGAGGTGCGTGCTGACAACAGACATATTTGCACAGAAATGGGAATAGGTAGCGTGGAACAGGTTTCTGGCCTGTCTAAATCATACGTGCTGTGAGTGTATCTAGCCTCGGCACAAAAGTGCATATTTTTCTGTATGTGCAGTATAACATACAGACTCTTCTAAAAGCAGAGGAGGTAGTGGAGGAACCCATTTATTTTATGTACCTGCAGTAACTGGGGCAACCCTGTTTAAACAGTCTACATGTCAAGTCACATCTTTGCTATTTGGAGTGTTAAAAAAAGCTTTGATCATCAATTCCCTAAATAGGAAAAGACATAGAAACAAAAGTTATAATTAAAACACTACAATTTAAAAGGTTTAACTACTTGTATTTATTATATTGTGTGGTGTGTTGAATTGACAAATATGAATTTACATTCTTTTTAAGACCTTTCTAAAGTTGAGTGTTACAGTCTATGTGAGCTGTTATAAGCATTGTCAGTATGCTATCACACTTAGCCAAAACTGTGTCTGATTGTGATGGGAGCTAGCTGTTAGATCTCAGGATCTAAGTGAATTGTGCGATATAAACTGATGTATAATGTGTATAAGAACTGGCTATTGTGCTGGTTCCTTTGTGATTACAACAAAAACATCCACCAATGGGAGTTTCTGGTTAGGAACCGTATTCTTTGTACAGATTATGACATAGGTAGAAGCACATCTTGTCCCATTCCTTATAATGAATCTTTATTCACTACAATTACAATCTCTCACTACAAAGTGCAAAATAATGAAACAGCATCCAGCAGGTTCTGGCTGCGAGGCCAAACATCTGATAAAATGTAACACACCAAATCTTATATTACTTATAAGGACAAGGGAAACTGTAGCTCTTCTGCTGGAGTGGGCATGTGTTAGCCTGCGAGACCACCCACAACAGCGGAAAGCTCCGAAATTGCCCAGCCTAAATGTGCCATGCAACACACTGGAATGTATGAAATTGCTGTGTCTGTACCGGATTATTCTGTGAAGAAACGGTGTATTGTAGACAAGAATACCCGAACTGGAAACTCAGCTGTTCTTCCACTCGAGTTATTCTGGTCTAGAAATTGTACTTCACTTGTCAGTAAATAACCCTATATACTCATGGACTGCTCTTAATTTTACAACAAGTGTCTATCCTAGGCCTCAATTTAATGAGCTTTCCAAATGATTCAATAGTTTAAAAAAAACAAAAAACTTCACAAATAATCTATCTACACAAGTCCCCATACACTATAATGGTAGATAAATCATTTGGAAGTTTTTCTAACAGTATTGAGTCATTCAGAAAGCTTATTAAATCGAGGCCTTAGAGTCAGTACTGGTGGATTTTTTGTTTCCACAGCAGCAGTTATAGCTCTGCCACTAGTTTTAACATAGGAACATGTATGAGTCCAACAATATATATGACATTTCATTTCCAAAAACCTGACAACTGACAGTCTAAAATCCTAAACATAATTTAAAGACTACATAATGCTAGCGTAGATTTCCTATGCCATGTGTTACCACAACAAGTATCAGTCCTATATCTTCTGTATAAAATAACTGGCACTGTCAGATTGATGTGTTATTGTGAGTCAGGTCCAGCTGTGTCAGCCCCGTCACAGTGTGAAGGATCAGGAATGGAGATATCTGTTTCGCTGTGTTCCAAAAAATGCCCACAAGGAGTTTCCGATGCATTGTCCGTAGCATCTTCTTCATAATCCGTACATGAAGCTTCTTCTGGAGAGGCAGTAAAACAGAGCCTGGAACAACTGATATTTGGAAGGTCAGCTGTGGAATGAAGATAGAACATTTAGAAAAGTTTTATGGCAAATAATTGATAACATTGGTAAAATGCTTTGCACTTAGATTCTAAACTATAAGGGGTCGTGGGAGGCATCAGCATACGTCTGGCACTACAGCAACTTCAATGGACTGCAGTAGTTATGGTGCTTAGAGCATTGCTTTAATGTAGCTCAAGCACTGGATTCATTTATAAGTGTCCTAAATGCTCCTGGAAGAGGAAAGACAGCCGTAAAAGGTGTGCGCTGTAGTGATTATGGTACTTACAGCGTTCATTTAAAGCGACACTGTCATTGTTTGGGGACATTGCTGAATTTGCAAAGTTCCCCGACGGTAACATTGCCACTGGTGGTCTGGTGGACGAGGGGGGCAGGAAAAGGTGAGTTTACTTACCTGAACCTGCCCTCGAGGGCGCCGTCATCTTTGTCTGGCATGGTTCTCATTGCCGCTTACGTCATTGCTGTATTCAACAGCACTGAGATCTATGGGGGATCCTATGGGACTGCGGGATGCTCCATAGACACAACCAGTTCCCTCCAGCCATCACTGATGACAGCTGCAGGGATTGACACTTAGGCTCTGTCTTGTGTCAAAGAAAGTCAAGCTGAAGAGAAATACAGAGACAAAGTAGTCCCTACTTTGTCTAAGTATATCTCTTGACTGGTATTAGTATCTCATAAAAATGCTACCTTTATAAAATACTAGTTTTTCACAGGGGAGGGGGGTGCTTTAACTAGCTTAAGGCACCAGTTTTAAACAAATTGTTGGTGCATACATCTGAGGATTTCACAGCGTATTTAACTTAATTTAAGATGAGATCCGAACATTGCTACATAGAGATTTCAAGCAGCTCTTTGTTAAACGTGAAATTGTTACATTTGATATACATAAAGTTTATGTCAATCCTTGTACATTGTAAGTTATCTGGCGCCATCTTGTGACCAGTTATACCCTAACTAATTCACCAATCACATATAGACACATACATACTTATCTACACACATTTCTAACTTTATTCTTGCAGACATACACACATACACTGACACTACATTCTAGGGAG